AAAAAAAGTCGGTTAGTTTAGAAGGAGTTGTTTTATAAGATGACATTCTTAATTTTGATTTTTTTTTTTAATTTCTGGGTTGCCAACGTTTGCTCACACCCTTACATGCTACCAAAAATTCAGTAAGGTCCATTGCGGCACAATAAATATTGCTGTAAAAATATTTTAAACTTTCACTAGTAATAGTATTTATGGTTTTCTTCCAAGAAATAAAAATATATCGATTGATTTTTAATAACCAGTATGTCAGGATGTATCTACCTATGAAATATTTTTTCACATTGATTCATAAATAACAAATGAGTGTTTATCAGTAGAAAATGCCTGTCAGATAACAATGGTTCAGAAAAGGTTCTGAAAAGGTACAAAATGATCAGAGTGGTCATCATAAAAATAGACCTCATAAATCAAGTTCATTGACTGAAGACAGCATAGTCAAACATTTTACCTTATTCCCAACAGTAAAAGCCTAATATGTGAGAAAACACTATCAAAAGTTATATTTGGTAGAGTACTGCTGAAACAAGCTATGGTTTGGAAGCAAACTTTGAATTTTCAAATGGCGAGTGCACGACAATTTAGGATAATACCATGTTTAATTATTCTTTTTCAAACAGATTATTATTTTTAGGGTTCCGTACCTCAAAAGGTTTTGGCCTACTATACCACGCTGGCCAGACGGTTTGGTATAGGGTTTGTTTCAAGTTTTCCTTCTCTTTGCAGTGCTGTTGTCCTGTGCAGTTTGTTCCCTTAGTCGGCTCTTACGACACCCACGGGATAAATAGCGGTGGTGACATTCCGTATTCTTAATCCGTCACCACACGAATTATACCTCCTCTCTAAGGAGATGTCTATGTCCAGCAGTGGACTATTGTAGGCTGTTGGTGATGATGATGATTGATGACCTCAAAAGGTAAAAAGGAACCCTTATAAGATCACTTTCTTGTCCGTCTGTACGTGTGTCACCACCGATTTTCTCAGGAACGGGTAGACCTAGCAAGTTGAAATTTATAACACACACTGAGGTCTATGGTCCCTATTAGGTATATAGAAATCAAGGTCCTGAGGCAACACGATAAAAAGATATGGGTAAATTTCAATTTTCGCGAAATCTTGTAAGTACCTACCAAAATTTACCTTAATTTTCAACTTTTTTATTTTTCAGAATTTTCTCTTTGCTTTTAATCAAAATTGACAATTCTAGGTCAACCAGAAGTACCCTATAGGTTTAGGGTCGAAAACCTATATGGTAGTTCCCGTTGACCTAGAACCACGAAATTTGGCAAAAAGAAACGTCTTACAGCACAAATAAAGGAATAATTCCAAAAAATAAAAAAAAGTTGAAAATTAAAATATATTTCGGTACTTACAAATTTTCGCGAAAATCGACGTAAGATCTGGGTAGGTACAGAACTCTCGGCGCACGAGTTCGACTCGTACCTGTTTTTTTTTTTTGTGGGAGGTAAAAGATGTTAAAAAAGAAAATTCTAGTAACTTGGAGACACATTCGATCATTACACACGACATTATTCGATCTTGAGAAGATTCTTTACGTTCCGAGGTCAGAAGTTGGAATTTTATATTATAAACGTAAATATCCCGTTGATAATTTTACTGTATTCGATGCCGTAAACTGGTATATTGTTTTGTGGCATTATATGCCACTCCAGAAAAAAAATAAGGCATCGTTTGATATACAAACTCTTTTGATACGCTTTATATTGATAGTTTACTAATTATTTAAGATTTTCACTAAATCTTTTTTCCTACAAAATTGTATTTTGTCGACTGTGGCTTTGTTCCACTAACCCATCGAATTGTAACATATATAACAAATAATGTCAAAACAGTCATTCAGTATTTGCCTATAAGTATTTGCTACACTGCAAATGCTTATAGGCAAATACTGACTGACTGTTTTGACATTATTTCTATACAAAAGAAGAAAACTAAAACTAACAAAATATTTTAACCATTAAACTAGTTTCGTTATCATTGAGTTATAGAAATTAAATATCTTGCTTAGGTCTTATGTCTAGGTGGAGTGTCGCACTGCAAAACAACTAAAACCGGACAGGCTAGCTTTATTATGCGGTGTGCGAATCGAGCATCTGTAACTACAGTGTTATCATGGCTGACACAGCGAATTTAGTGGCCAACGATTCTACACTATGTTCTTCGACACTCACAGTCTATCATCATATTAATAATAATAATAATACATCATAGTTTAAATCTCATTGATTGATTGATCTACATGATTCTTCAAAAAGTTGCTCTACTAAATACTTGCAGAATCGTAAGAACATTTCTGCAAATAGATAAATAGACATAATAAACTTCGCCCAAGAACCCGTGGCATTTACTTGACTTTGTCCGTAAATGTCACAAAACGCTACAAGCGAAAGCTGAGAAAGAACAAATTTAACATAAATATAATAACAATAATATTCTACAACATTCGCACAACGCCATCTAGTCCCAAACTAAGCAGAGCTTGTACTATGGGTACTAGATAACTGATATAAATAAATAATAATAATAATGATCTAAGTTATATATATTTTGGTTTCAAACGTGGGTGACCTACGGCAAACCTAGTTCGGGGTATATATATAACAATATGACTGAAACTAGAAGAATATTTAAATCTAAATTAAAGCACTGTCAGAACAATGAAACTCAAATTAAGATGGACATTATTGCGAAACACCATTCGAATAAAAACTATGTTAATTTTTGGAAAAATACGAGTAAGTTGAACCCTAAGTCGAGCTCTCCGGTGAGTGTGGGTAGTGTTCACGACCCACACGATATAGCTTGTGCCTTTCAGCGTCACTTCAGTGTGTCATCACCTCTCGGACCCTCGTCGCAAATGCTCGCTGCGGACAGTCGTCCCGGGTATATTAACATCAGGTTTTCCGCTAAGGAGGTTGCCCTAGTTATAAAAAATATGGTAAGAGGCAAATCCCCAGGTCACGACAGTCTTAGCATCGAGCATTTGCAGTATGCGGGCATACATCTACCGAGGGTGCTTGCATTCTTGTTCAACATGTGTATTAGTCATAGCTTTTTGCCAGACGATTTAATGTATACAGACGTTGTGCCTATCGTAAAGGATAAGACTGGCGATTTGTCGAATATGTCTAATTATAGGCCAATTTCACTTGCGACTGTTATTGCTAAGGTGCTGGACAGTTTGCTTGACCGGCAGTTGGAACGGCACCTACAATTACATGACGCACAGTTTGGGTTTAGGCCCGGTTTATCAACTGAGAGTGCTGTTCTCTGTCTCAAGCAGACTGTCCAGTACTATACAGCTAGAAATACACCTGTATACGCTTGTTATTTAGATCTCTCAAAAGCTTTTGACCTTGTTAATTATGACAGGCTGTGGCAGAAGCTACAATGTGATACGAATCTACCACGTGAGATTGTATCTCTATTTAAATATTGGTACAGTCAGCAGAAAAATAGGGTAAGATGGTCGGATGTACGGTCGGACATGTACAGGTTGGAGTGTGGCGTGAGGCAAGGTGGTATATCCTCGCCTCGTCTCTTTAATCTGTATATGAATGGGCTGATCGGTGAGCTTAGTAGCACAAACATAGGTTGTTCTATTGACGGTGTGTGCATAAATAATATAAGCTACGCTGATGACATGGTGCTGCTGAGCCCATCGATTGGTGCACTACGTAGGTTGATAGGTATCTGTGAGACATATGCGGCGAGTCATGGTCTCAAGTATAATGCCAAAAAGAGCGAGTTTATGATCTTTAAAGCTGGTACCAAATGCTACTCAATTGTACCTCCAGTCACTCTTTGCGGAACTCCTTTAAAGAGAGTTTATAAGTTTAAGTACCTTGGGCATTGGGTCGCCGATGATTTATCAGATGACCTTGATATTGAGAGGGAGCGTAGGGCGCTGTCTGTCCGGTGTAATATGTTGGCTCACAGGTTCGCACGTTGTACCACACCAGTAAAAGTTACTCTTTTCAAAGCATATTGTCAGTCCTTCTACACGTGCAGCTTGTGGACTAACTTTACGCAGCGGGCGTACAGCGCACTACGCGTCCAGTACAACAATGCTTTCAGGATGCTATTGAATCTGTCGAGGTTTTGCAGTGCATCAAACATGTTCGCGGAGGCACGTTGCGATGACTTTTATGCAATCATAAGGAAGCGGAGCGCGTCAATGTCCAATCGACTGCTAAGCAGCACCAATGGCATCCTGAGAGTATTGTCCGAGAGGTGGGATCTTCCAATCCTACAAAGGTGGATGCGTCTGCATGCTAGCGCATCCCCACGATTTATTTTTTAATTTGTTTTGTGTTAATGTAGAACTAACATAGTTGTAAGATTACTGTTACTAACATATCTATGGACTAATGTCTGAAAATAAATAAATTTATTATTATTATTATTATATTACCTATGAAAAATATGTTATACAACATGTCATAGAAAGATGCGATTTTAATGTAATAGGGAATGCTTTTTCTGCTATCTGTATACCTCATCATTATTTTCAAGCTCCTTTTATAAAATATTCATACATTAATTTACGTCAGCCCTCTTTTTTTTTGTCTGCCACCTTGATAGTTAATTTACGAATTTCATTTTTCATTTTTGTAATAATTTTTCTGTATTAAAACCATGAACATCTAAAAAAATAGGTCACGTTACGTCATTTACTAAAAACGACTTCAAAATATGACCACGCATTATTGCCATACCTTGGCTTTCGCACCTTCACTCAAAAAACTGTATAACTCAAAAAATCGAGGAAAAAAGGCGTAGGGTGAGAAGAAAAAGTTAAAGCTTGCTTAAATCTACAAAATCAGCTCGAAGCAAGCTTCTTTAAGCTCGCTGAAAACCGTTTTGTTATTATTTTTTATTAAAACTCGAAAAGTGAAGCAAAGATATGGAAGAAACTTTATAGAAACTAAAAAAGTCAAGTATTTTTTATTAGTTTAATAATTTCAATATTATTGTTTCAGCATATCTCGGTGATGACATGGCGAAAACAATACAATTTTGCTGCAATGAAGGTGACCAGTACGCCAAAAATTTTAACAACTGTCAAGGGACCTTCCCCATGTCTCCAGAGGTGCCAACAGCTTTCATCTCCATGTGCCGTATGGCGCAGGCGCAATGCTGCAATGAATATTTTGCGTAAGAAATCACTGTTATTATTATAATGTATAGAGTTATTTACGGCATCTTTGTGAGTCCTTCATCCAGGGACATTCAATGGAATAGAATGTAATACTTACCATTATCTAGCAAAATACGCAGGAGTTGTTGAGCTCTGCAAAAAGAAGGAAAACTTGAAACAAAATCCTATACCAACACGTCTGACCAGTGTGGTATAGTAGGCCAAAACCTTCTTTCTAAGGAGATACCTATGTTTATCAATGGCCTTTTAAGGGCTGGCTGTTGTGTGTGCGTGTGTGGCTGTAATGGTGATGATGATATTATCTGGGAAGATTATTGACGAAGCTCCAATATATTAGGGAAAAGCCACAGCTAACCCTCAAATCAAGGACAATACAAATCAATGCTTCTCAACAGTTATATAAGATGGTTACTAGAAGCAGCAGGTACCAAAAACGTTCTTTATAATTTTTCGTTAGCATTTCGAAGTAAAATATTTGTTTACCAGCAAACTGCCACATTGTTGTTCAAATTAAGCTGCAAAACATTAGTTTCAATCATATCTCATTTACAAATGTAAAACCATGTACAAAAAAACATGGCGTTGCTAGGTTAGTCTGACAGGTAGTTGTTTGGCTTCACAGTTTATAAATGAATACATTATTTATTTATGGCACATGCTTATTGCGATGTTTATGCTTTATGCGATTCAACATGTGCCAAGTCTGTGCACAGCCTTAGTAGTTACTAGCTGACCCGCGCAACTTCATCTGCGTCTCTCAATAGTAATAAATTTTCTCCGTTTTTTAAACATTCTTCATTAGTGCTCCGCTCCTATTGGTTTTAGCGTGATGATATTTAGCCTATAGCCTTCTAGATAAATGGGCTATCTAACACTGAAAGAATTTTTTAAATCGGACCAGTAGTTCCTGAGATTAGCGCGTTCAAACAAACAAACAAACTCTTCAGCTTTAAAATATTAGTATAGATTTGTAATGTCAGAAGTCAAATCGACTTGCAAATTACCAACATCAATTTTCAAAATCACGCGCTATTAATGGTTATAACGGATTGAAACTTAGTAAAATATTTACATATAGTTTCCTTGTTTTGGAGTCGTAAATAACATTACTAGGAATTACTGTGTTTCGAGAAACAATGTTTTGTTTTGTATACGAAACTAGTTTCTTTTATCGCAATGGCGTCCAAGAATTTTGAGACTTAAAATGTTTTGCGTAACCTTGATTTGTGGGTCATGACCTGGTTTTAAGAGGAAAATAAATATATTGAAGACAATACATTTATATATTAATTTAAGGAAAACAGTGTTTGCAGCAAAAGATTATTTATTTTGTTTGAGTCTAGTCTGATGATTTTGCTTACACGGTCGTGTTAAATTTTACCATATTAATATCACACAAAAATTTATCTCAACAAACGTTATCAACTAAGCTAAAAATGACCCGTTTAATTACAGAACATACGGATAAGGAACCCCTATATTAAGGGATCCATACGGATCTTAAGGGATACTACAAGCATCGGATAGGGAAACAAGTCTAGCGATATACGAACTCGGGTGAGCCCTAGTTCCCTCGCCCTGTTTGACTTAGCCTCTCCCTTTGTCGCGTCTGGAAACGATTACATTCTTAAAAACGGTTGATGTCATGCAAACGGAGGGCCATAAGTTTCCCTGACATGACTTCACTTTTCATGATTCACATCAGCTTTGCCAATAAGGTAACGGCTACTGGTTACCACCAGGCAGACCAAATACCTATAAGTTAGTTACCTATTAGTTAAGTAAAAATAATGCATTTTTACAAATCTCCATCTTGAGAAAATGGCTTGTAGCTAATGGCTGCGGACTGCCCAATACTCGAATGTTTGACACTCTTGAGGGCTTCGTTAAGTTGTATACTTAAGTAGAAGTAGAATCTTAAGCTACGTGACTGTAAATCAACATACAAAAATCAAATTTTGGAAGATTTTTCCACATTCTTTTTTCGGCTACACGATAGAAACTGAAACATAACTCACAGTGTTATAATAATACTTTGTATGCACTTCTTATAAATTGAATTTTACATTGTTACAGAAAAAAGAATGACTGTGAAAGCGGCGTAGACACATCAATCAGAAACGGCAGTTGTAACTTCAATAAAGGTATAAGCAAGGTGAGTTTATTTTGTTATAAAAAAAATAAGCTATTGTCGTCTCACAAGACGCGAGAAGGGTTGGTATAGGGTGTATTTTTCTTCTATTTGCAGTGAAATTGTCCTGCGTAGTTACACCCACAGGATGAATAGGGGTGATAACACTTTGTAAGTGTCTTAAGAGCTGACTAAGTGAGCAAACTACGCAGGACTACAGCACTCCAAAAAGAAAGAAAACTTGAAATAAAGTATATTTAAAACCAAAACCACTTTTCTAAGGAGAGGCCTATGTCCAGCAGTGAACTAGTAAAGACTATAGATGATGATGATGTACATTCCATTTCTTCATCCACAGTCCAACAAAAGGCAATCGTAATTTTTGAATGTGCAAACATTGGTTAAGTAGGTAATTGGGGATCTCTTATCAAAACATGTGTTCTGATAACATTCTCCGCTGTTTACTCTCTACAACGTGACGGTATTTTAATAGATCTTCTTTGTTTATACAGTATATGTATACTTAGATATCCATACTAATATTATAAATGAGAAAGTGTGACTGTCTTTCTGTCTGTCTGTCTGTCTGTTACCTCTTCACGCTTAAACCGCTTGAGGTGAAATTTAGTATAGAGATAGTCCGAGTCCTGGGAAAGAACATAGCGTAGGTTCTATACCAGAAATCAGCCTTTAGGGGGTGAAAAGGGGGGTGGAAGTTTGTATGGGGAATCAAGAACCGCTGAACCGATTTAGGTGAAATTTGGTATGGAGATATTTTGATTCTTGAGGAAAGGCATATGCTACTTTTTTACTGCGATAACCGACATATAAGCGGGCGGAGCCACAGGCTAAAGCTAGTTCGCAATAATTGGCGCATTATGTACATTCGAAAATATAGGTAACCTTCAAAAACTAGAAACCTTCTACAATACACATAAGTCGTGATATCATAACTTTTAATAGGTACGAGTTTTTTACACTTATTGGCCGTGTTTTTATAAGCCTATTTTTTTATAGTTACTGAGAATGATTTACATTTTATTTACTATTTCTGCGATTTAGTAATTAATCTAACTGCACGGTTGGCGTAGTGGTTTAAGTGGTCGCCACGTCGCTTACTACTACGCTGAATGTTGTGGGTCCGATCCCCACATGGTACGACACTTTGTGTGAGCCACAAATTGTTGTTGAGTCTAGGTGTTCTTTGTGGCGGGCACGCCGTCATCGCGGCGGTAAGACCCGTTATGGAGGATTGGCTCGAGAGGCGTCACGGGACCCTCTCATACCGACTGACGCAGGTGATCACTGGGAAAGGATGTTTCGGGGATCACCTGTGTCTGATCCGCAAGGAGCCAACGCCTGAGTGCCACCACTGCGATGGCCAGACCGTGGACACGGCTCTCCACACGCTGGCAGAGTGCCCGGCGTGGGTTGAGCAGAGGCGAGACCTCGTGGCGGCCATCGGGAGGAGTCTCGCTCGATAGCCTGATTGCGGCTATCGTGCGGAGCGAGAGTGCGTGGAACTCTGCCGTCTCCTTCTGCGAGCAAGTTATGCTCGCGAAGGAGACGGCGGAGCGGGACCGGAAGAGGTTTAGAACTCTCCCGGCCCGCCAGGCCCGGGAACGGGCTAGGTACCGCAGGCGACTCAGACGCCGGAGGTCGCAGAACGACCTCCGTCCTCCATAAGCGCAGGCCTGGGGGTGACAGATGGCCTCATGGCCTAGCAGAATTAGGCCGGGGTGGCGGCAAGCGCGTTGCGAAGCGCGCTCGCTTCCAGGGAGCACAGTGAACATGGGGTTCCCACACGGGAGGGGGTCGTCTACTCGTCTGTAGATGACCCGAGGTATGTCGGGGCACCAGGGACTTCCTTTCTAGGGTATACCTGGTTCCCCGGCTATTAATACCCGAGACGGCGTGCGGTTTTAGTCGGTTCGAGTCCGACATGCCACCGACAGGTGGTATCCGAGGGGATTTCCGCACGGAAAAAAAAAAAAAAAAAGGTGTTCTTTGTGTCCATTTCATGTATCTTTGTAAAATCCCCCGCGACACAGGATATATTCCTAATGCGGGATGGTCTTTAAAAAAAATAAGAATTTAAGCCTCAGACTTGTGTATTCAGTCACTTCAAAAAAAGGTAGCGGAACATTCTTGGGAGGAAGATCTTTTCTTTAACAGATTTATTTTTGAGTCTATTTAATTGAAAAGTGCATTTATCACAAGATCACTGGTATTTGGGAAATTTAGAACTAGAAAAATAAGTATTTTATAATTGAGCTTGCTTTATTTATTTGTTAATATTTCATAAAAACGCACAGGTTACGTCATCTTTGATCGGCTAAATTATGATGATTTTTTAATCAAGTGAAGAAGCATCTGTAGTCGAACTTGGTGATGTTTTCTTGGATTAGCGCCAACTTCCCGATTAGCCTTAATTTACTACTATTGGTACTTATGCTAGATAAAATGAAAATTAGGTCCACAATACAAGAAATTTAAGTGTGCCTCATCATCATCACATCAACAGCCTTTAACAGTCCACTGTTGGACATAAGCCTCTCCTTAGAAAGGAGGTTTTGGCCTACTATACCACGCTGGCCAGACGGGTTGGTAAAGGGTTTGTTTCAAGTTTTACTTCTCTCTGCAGTGCTGTTGTTCTGCGTAGTTTTTTCCCTTAGTCGGCTCTTATGACACCTACGGGATGAGTAGGGGTGGTGACACTCTGTATTCTTAATCCATCGCCACAAGGACAACTGTAACTGTGTCCTCGTTAGTGGGTTAATCAGAATTTTATTATGTACCTAAGTCAGAAAAATGAGTTAAATCGAAGTTTTAAAACTTATTCTTCTTTCAGGACTGTTGTGACGACTGCGCAAGAGGAACAGCGTTAGGAAAATCTAAGGGTCCAGGAGCCTGTCAAAAAAACCCACGTGGAACCAGTGCAGAAGAAATATTGGCTCAGTACGCATTTAAAAAATGCTGCGAGGTAATTTATAAACCACTAATAGTGCCCGTAACAAAAAGCAAGACAGTGAGCATTTTTTTATGGTATAAGGGAGCAAACGAGCAGAACATGACTGTAAGCAACTACCACCGCCCATCGACACATGCAACTCAAAAGTCACAAGTGTGTTGCTGCCCTTGGAGTCCTTCCCGCTTGAGTCAGCGGGAGGTGGGATTTGGGCTCCGGTGACCTCACTCACTTAGTGTTAATTGTGAATAATGTGAATTGCTTAACACCGGTTTTCTGTGAGGCTGTGGTATCACTCCGGTTGAGCCGGCCCATTCGTGTCGAAGCATGGCTCTCCCACGGTAGACGGTCCCATACATGTGATATGTTCACTGCTCTGCTTGTCAGGTACATGTCGTGATATTAATTTGTGTGAAATTCAAGGTTCTGATGATATTAAACAGACGAAAAAGCATTTTTAAACTTTTGCATATTCCGTTTAAACGGCAATTGGTTACAACTGATACTGTAACCTGTAAACTCTTAAAAACTTATTTTAGATCACTTTTATAAAATAATAACAAATTTTTGACGCCCTAGCCGTGGTGCGAATGCATATTATTGCAGTATTTAAAGTCGCAGTGTTAGAGACACTGTGAGTGCACCATTCGTGTCTAGAACTGTCTACAACCCATAAAAATATATTTTTTGTTTGGTCTAGTTAAATATCAGGAATAAATTCCAAAGTTTTCGTGTTCAAACCTATTATAAATTGTTTTTTCCAGAAAGCAGCGAAAGGTTGGAAAGAGAACTCATCGCAAAGAAGTTCAAATGCGATAACATTATCTAGTAAGTAGCTTTAATTCCACCATTATGTACTTATACACTCTAAACAGGCGTATTATTGATATTTAAGTAATAAATAATTCAGTTAATGAAAGAAACATTATCTCCTAGTAGATTACACAAATAATAATAATTAATTGAATTATTTGTGTGGTCCTAGCTATAAAAACAAATTCTTCACACACAAATTCAAAATACATTAATATTTAAAAAGAAGTATGCTTTCTAATAAAACAAGAATTAAAAGGTAATTTTTTGATAAATTCTCTATAAATCCATCATTTGCAGTACAAAGTTTCAACGTTTATTTCAGTATTGCCCTCAACATGCGAGGACTACGCCCCTAATGAGTTGTGTGCCCACCATTGCATACCAGTTCCGGGCTCCTACAAGTGTGAATGTAACCCTGGCTTCATGTTGATGGCAGATGGAAGAAATTGTAAAGAGGTAAGCAGAAACTTACCCAGTAAAAAATCAAACCACTGAATTGAAGAATGTGTGTGTAAGAATTTAAGAAAGTGGCATGCAGATTTAACAATGATAGGCGGTTTTACTTACGTGTGTGTATTGGGGATATCTGCCTGCTTTTGGACCTGATGATGAAGGCACTTTTCAATGAGTGTAACTTCTTATTAACCTAACACTTTTTATATCCAAAAAGTACAATTCAATAATTAGACAATAAAAAAGGTAATCGATGTTAATGAACTTAACATTGTTAAGTTCTCCATTATACATTAAAAGAAAAACAAAAAACATCGAGTTACCTATGTAATTTTCAGAGGGTTATATTTACCAGTAAACTACAAAATTAAGCTAAATACATGAGTATTAGCAGTATACTGATCTGTCAACGCATTGTTAAGGTTTAATAAAAAGATATATTTAAAGATAAAGTACTCATTTCAAATCAATCATGTTAAACTTTATTTTAAATGACGTTTATTGGGAAGTCTTGTACAAAATACATCCAGCATCTATGTGGGTATATTTGCGCCGTGCAAATTTCTGGAGGAATTCAGATTCAGATGCTAATGAACTTGCGATGCTAGTGAGAGTAATATACAGTGTTGACAGGCTCAGAGGCTCTAATGCGAGTTTATTTCACATCTATTGTGATGATAGTGATGATGATGATGATGATTTACATCACTTATCTACCGTCACAAGCATTATTGTCAGCATTTCTTGTGAATATGTTGTGCCGAACGAGCTCACCGTGTATCAATACACGGTGAGCTCGTTCGGCGTTTCGATTGGCCTGCGCTGAACTCTACATCATTAATATTTTTAACTTTCACTAAGCCCTCAGATAATGTTTACCGTACCGACCATACTTGTGACAAGTCAGGTATAAGTTAAAAAAATATGTTACAGGTTAGCAAAAACAGATGCAAGCCTCGAAATGATTGCCAGCACAAGTGTAACGATAATGGCGTTGAAGTCAAATGCTCCTGTAGACGAGGATATGAGCTCATGCAAGACGGAAAATCTTGTCAAGGTATGATACCAAATAAAATATATCACTCCAAAGCGATGGGTTACCATGTTAATTAAAAGTAACAATGGTGTTATCTTCAGCAATTATCTTAGAGCAAATGCCTAAATCATAAAGCTTTGGATAAATCTGCCCTGCTGAGTGAGTAAATCTTTGATATTGTTAAGTTTGATACTAATGATTAAGAAGGAACGTTATTTCCTTTTGCAGATATAGATGAATGTCAGCTCGATCAGCCAGTATGTTTACCAGGTTCTAAATGTCACAATATGCAAGGATCCTACCGATGCATTCCGGTAAAGAAACAGAATAATAATGTGGAAAAGGGAAAATGCCCACCAGGATTTACTAGAAATGCTGACAATAATGCTTGTGACGGTAAGTGATATAAATCATCATCATTATTATTATCATTATCAACAGCCTAGGCTATCGTTGGACATAGGCCTCTCCTTAGAAATAAGGTTTAGTCTTTAAATGTCAATATATATACGAGTATATATGTAAATGTAATACATGTTCATAGAATGTACATCACTTTTTTTCAAAACGCTATTCTTGTTTGAATAGCGTTTTGAAAAAAAGTGATGTACATTCTATAAATACCAGAAATAGAAATAAACTTGTAGTACCTGCCTCTAGGCCCCAAAAGATAAACAAGTCGTTTCGAGGTCAATGTGTCCGATTTATATTCAGAACTTAAGTATTAACAAATTAAAACCCGCAATTAATCGTTAATTATGTCAGAATGTGTAGTCCAATGGCTGGACATAGGCCTCTCTTTAGAAAGGAGGTTTTGGCCTACTATACCACGCTGGCCAGACGGGTTGGTACAGGATTGGCTTCGAGTTTCTTCTCTTTGCAGTGATGTTATCCTGCTTAGATTGATCCTTTAGTCGGCTCTTACAACACCCACGGGATGAATAGGGGTGGTAACACTTTGTATTCTTAATCTGTCAGCACAAGGACTTGTCCCGTAGTTTGTAAGAATTCAAGTAAATTTCAACTTACTTACCTGTAATTAGATATTCACTCAACTATATTAACAACACCGTGCTCGTACTGAACTTTGTATTTACTTAATAGTCCATCGATCCCAGACAAATAATGAATTTAGTTTATCGTGCAGCGTTCAGATATTTTTATTAAATTTCAAAATGTTTTTGATATTTTACATTAAAAACATCGTTTGCAGATATAAATGAATGTCTTTTACCAAACCCACCGTGTCCAATTTACATCTGTGAGAATACTGTGGGAGGGTACCTCTGCGGTGGAGTCTCTAGAGACCCAGAACTTGTGAGCCTTCGACCAATTGACGAAGACAGGTGTCCTCCTGGCTTTAGGGTTGGAGTTAATGAGGAATGCGAAGGTATGTGGCGTATTCATTTAAAGTTTTTTTAGGCTTAAATAGTTTTAAACATACAACTAAGTTGATGAATATTGCTAAAAGTAAGATAGGGCAGATAAATGCTAGAGCATATTGTATGACCATGATTTTTACTGCCACTTACATGAATTCATGATTTACAGTTCTCTTTTAATATGGTTAATAAATAGTGCTGACTCATTTTGCCCATTATTTTGAGTCTTGTAAAACCTTCGTGGTTTCAGAAAGTTTATTCATATTAAAACTTAAATATACTATTCGAATTTTGAAAAACCGAATGAAAAAATTTACTATAAAGCCAACAAATGGTGGCAGTTTTGACTTGACCTGCTCTTTATCCAAGTATTAGGTTAATTAGAGTTATTGATTAGGATAGAACGACAAACTAGCCAACTTACCAGTATCTTATCCAACAGCAGGAAGTAATTAGATTGTACAAGCCTTCTTTTATAGAAACCGTACTTTTTTACTCTGAGGGTTTTAGCTTGACCAGAAATTCACTTGACATAGCTCCGATTTTGGCATTTATCAATCGTGGAAAGTTTCTTTTCACTTCCTTAGCCTGTTTTATCTTTTCCATTGTTTGTTCTCTTTACACCTATTTCATTTATAAATTATACTCATGATCATCAACAACCTTTAACAGTCCACTGCTGGATATAGGCCTCTCCTTAGAAAGGAGGTTTGGCCTACTATACCACGCTGGCCAGACGGGTTGGTATAGGGTTTGTGTCAAGTTTTCCTTCTCTTTGCAGTGCTGTTGCCCTGTAGTTTGTTCCCTTTGTCGGCTCTTACGACACCCACGGGATGAATGGGAGTGGTTACATTCCGTATTCTTAATCCGTCACCACACGGATAGATAAATTATACTAATAACATTGTTTTATTTATAGATATCGACGAATGTACATCACAGAAACACGATTGTAATTTACTTTCCCAATTTTGCATCAACAAGCATGGCTCTTTCCATTGTCAGGATAAAGCCTCAAAACATTGTCCACCTGGATTTAAAATAAACACTATAACTAATAAGTGCGAAGGTATATAGAACTTTTTTTTTTTAATATTTATTACAATAATAATAATAATATTTTCACACATCTCACACACGGCCGTCTGATCCCAAACTAGGCAGAGCCTGTATTATGGTAACCAGACTGCTGATAAACATATTTAAATACTTCTAAATACATACATATTATAGATAAAGTACACCCAGACACAGAACAAATGACCGTGCTCATCACACAATTATTTGTACTGGGTGGGAATCGAACCCACGACGTCTGGCGTAGCAGTCAGGGTCACTAAACACTAGACCAACAGGTTATATAATACCTATATATATTACTTGACCTTTATACCTTTAATACCTATTAATTTTACTTGACTTTGAGATTTAGAAGTAAGAGCATACAGAAGTGTAAAGCCGAATAACGGTATTAGATTTGTTTATTAGATGTTTGCATGACAAAATATGTTTCCATATAATTTTACTTATATTTTCGTTGAAATTACAGATATTAATGAATGTGAAGACAATGGCGATGTTTGTCAGATGGATGAAATCTGCATCAACCAACTCGGACAGTACTATTGTAAATCTAAATTGGAAGAAAAGTAAGTTATTATTATCACTTTTCTAGGTTTCTGAATATCAAAATTTGGCAATAAAGATTTACAATATACAGGGTGTAAGTGTTTATACAGGGTGTAAGGGACGCCGTAACGAGTACTGAAGTAGTGTATTTAGACCATCATTCTTCATCTTTTTTTTATAAGTTTCCATGTCTTCTTTATTAATCAAGCCGATGCGGGCGGGAACCTCCTCCCTTGGCCGCCAACTTGTGTTAGTGTGCGTAGACTGTGTGCACAGAAAACAAATGTAGTTATTACTTTTGTATGATACCTACGGGAAATGATCTTAACCTTAGACAGCTGATTGCATAAAACGTTTAATTTCCAATTCAGACCATCATTATTAGTCAAAAATACACTGGTCAGAATACACTATTTCAGTTTTCGTTACAACGTCCCTTACACCCTGTATAGACAGACTTCAACCATTTATTTGGCCTGGGTTTCTCTTAAGTAAATTGAATTGTTTGCGTATTTTCGTTAGGTTTGTTTGTAGTTCAATAGATTATTTTTTTTATATTTAGTCTAACAAGGTGTTTTACTAAGCTTACAAATAGTTTTAACATTTTTTTTTTTCAGAAAATCTTATTCTTGTCCTGAAGGAATGAGGAAGAAAGAAGGAAGCCCTTATTGTGAAGGTTAGCATAATCTATATTACATAATTATATTATAAACAGAAATACCTACATACGTAGTGCTTTAATCAGCATTGGAAAGCTGCGCACGCGCAAAAACATTTATATTTATACATCTATATTATATGCAAATTTTAATAACTAAAGACATATGGACATGAAATACGTGCAAATGATAATAATAATCTTTATTTGTCAGAAATATTATATGATTGTAGGTTTTACAAACGTAGGATACATGTAGTTTTACATACTAAATACAATAATAATGGGTGTAGTACTGTCAACCTAAGTGGGCTACAGATTAGCCTGTGATAAGAAGGTACACTGCCGGTCCCCTTAACAGTGCAGTAGTATACAGGGTGTGATTGAATTATAAATACATGATTTAAAAGGAAAAAATCTAATGTAAAACATGCGTTTAAATGACGTTTTTTTTTTAAATTATTTATGTTGACATATTCGCAAAATTATAATTTATTCATATCAGCCCTCTCTAATACAAAATTTTAGCTTTATAAGTCAATTTTCATATTCAATTTTTCACTTTCAAAATAAACTGTATAAGAACATTTCCTTCCTTCAGGCAGCGATTAAAGTTTTTAAATAAATTTTGTTTGTCATGTGTAAAAAATCTTTATAAAAAAAATATTACTTTAGTTTTACACTAGTTACTTAAGGACTAACAAAACTATTGTTTAAGATGTATTTAAATAAAAATGTTCTACACTGTAACATACTGTTCTAGTAAATAAATATTATTCTTATTTCAAAAATAGTTGGCTTTTTACTTTTTTTTTAAATCGCAGATATCGATGAGTGTGCAGAAGGGCTCCATATATGTGACATAAACCAGAGCTGCTTGAACACTAATGGAAGTTACGACTGTCACTGTAAACGAGGATACGAGTTGGATGTAGTTACTCAAACTTGTGTTGGTAAGGATTCGAACGACTTTGTGTCACTTGTGACTACTGCAGGCTTTTTAATTAGGGATTTGCACAAGCAACCCGTCTGGCCAGCGTGGTGTAGCAGGCCAAACCCTCCTTTCTAAGGCGAGGACTATGTCCAGCAGTGGACTATTATAGGCTGTTGATAATGATGATGATTGCATACCATCACATACATCATTCATCAGAGTGTTTAAATTAATATTTTTAAAGTAATAATAATTTCGCAACATTCTATTTTTCTACAAAATGTCAAAAAATTAAAGAAAAGTAATTTTGTTACACGTACGTTTGTTGTTATTGTTGTTTCTTTTTTGTTTTACGTGTGTATTCTACTAGCTTTGTAAATAAAAAATTCACCATAATATTCCTGTCAGTAAAAAAAAAACTGTATTTTACTTCATATATAAAAAATGAAGTCACGGTTTCGAATTTAAACACGATTTTTTTTAAAATATGAAATAAATTGGTATACCCATTTTGTTTTCATTCTTCTCTTCACTTTAAGATACAAACGAGTGCGCAACAATGCAACACAACTGCATTCCACAACTACATAGGTGCGACAACACAGTTGGCTCCTACATTTGCGTGAGGATCGCTTCTTGCGGTACAGGATACGTCTTACAACACGTTACAGGAAAATGTGAAGGTAAGAATGCCTAACTACGAGTATTGCTGTCATATCAAGTACAAAACCTTTTGAAATTTAAACTAATTTAAGGTCAAATGGTATTTGATCGGATTACAAATAAGGTTCTTGGAGACATCATTACAATTATTATATAATTATTAAATTAACACCAAAAATATCTTACTTTAAACTTATATAATATTCAGTGAATTAAAGCGACCACGTAACCACTATTGGTGTCACTTGGTCAAAAATTCAGGTAATTCAAAAAAATATGTAACACCTATTGATTGTTGTAATTATGGAACTAATTACAATTATACTAGTAACATATTCGAAAAATATCTGACTGATTATGTTTTAATCATCGATAGTTAAAACTCTTACATAAATTAGTCAAAAAAACTTTTTGAGATACAAAAGCTTATAATGCCATGCAATATTGGGTATGGTCTTTTAGTTTGCATATTTAAACAATAGCCATTTCTAATTTCTAGATATCGACGAATGTGCACTGGGGACACACAATTGTGGTTCAGGATATACTTGTTTCAATATAAGAGGCTCCTTCCGCTGCGTGAAAAGACGTCCATCAACTACTTCCACAACACCGTTACCTGAATATGAATATGTCTATTATGATTCTGAGTAAGTTTCCGCCATCGTTCCACACGGCAAAATTTTCATCCTCATCACCTGGATAGTTGGCGCTCCACTACTGTGCGCTATTCGAGACACTTTTTGCCCCGCACAACCAATCTGTGGAACGGGTTATCGGTCGCCGTATTTCCGAACCGATACGACCTTCAAACCTTCAAAAAAAGAGGGTACTCGTTTCTAAAAGGCCGGCAACGCGTTTGTGACTCCTGAGTTGCAGACGTTCATGGGCGGCGATGGTCACTTTCCATCACGTGACCCGTCTGCTCGTCTGCTCCCTCTAACATAAAAAAAGTTAACGATAAATATAGTTAGTCAGCAAAACTTATACAATATATATAGATTCCCTATCCATATAGGGAATCTACATAACTTTTTGATATTTATCTGATGATTACGAAATGTTTATCTGATGACTAACTGTATTTACTTTGACTTCATTTATTTTTATTTTATCATAGGATTTCATTAAAATTTGAAATATATTTCCGCCGTATATTGTGTTGCGTTCTCAATTAAATCGACTATCAAGCGTGGAATTTAGAATTTAAATTTATTAAGCAGTATTGATCAGATCTTGAGGTTTTATAATGAATGGTTTTAAAATTGGAGTGTCTGTTTGTAATATTAAAATAACCGCTTTTTAATAAATGCATATGTATGTTTACACGGTACATATGCCAAACTAACATTTTTTACAATTTTTGTCTGTCTGTCTGTTTGTTCCGGGTAATCTCTGGAACGGCTGGACCGATTTCGACGGGACTTTCACTGGCAGATAGCTGATGACATAAGAAGTAACTTAGGCTACTTTTTTTAGACTAGCTTCGCCCCGCGGCATTGCCCGCGGTTATAACAACAAACGCGGGTCACACCGCGGGTCTCAGCTAGTGTTCAAATATGAAGCTTTGGTCTACCAATTCATCGATATGAATCTTTAGAATAATCAAAACACAAAAGAGCATTAATAATTTTGACTAGAACGCACTACAAACTACTTTTATAACTTTTGGTAAGTCTTCGCTTTACCTTTCACTTTGTACACAATAATTAATAGGTAATCATATTTTAGGGAAGAAACTGATAACAATACATCGAGTGCTGATAACGAGACACCTAAAGAGCCATCAACTACTACAACGTCCACCACTCCGGTGCCTGAACCTCCAACTACTTTAAAAATCCCAGAAACCACAATTAATACTGAACTTGATACAAAAATACTTGAGGAAACACCTCATTACAACCCATCAACATTTCCAGATATAAGTTACAGTGAACCTAAGAACTCTGAACAACCAGATACCACACCCAATTTACTAGTCATTCCAGTACCAACAGAAACCTCAGTTAAGGTAGAAATACCTGAGTCAGAAACATCAGCAAGAACAGAAACACCTAAACCAGAACCAAAACAAACTGAGCAATCTATTTCCACTGTAACTCAATACCCAGAATCAGAGGTAAAACCCACAGAATGGTTACCATATCAACCCAAGGAACCCGAATACCACATAACTAAAACCGAACCACAACCTATCAGGCCAGTTGAGAAAATACCTCCCGAAATTCCTGAAGAAGAACTTCCGAAAGAACCGGATCAGCAGCCTCCACCTCGATATAAACCAGAACCAAACAATGAATCTCTACCTTTGGAAATTGAAACGACGCCTGAAATATCTTACTTATCACCAGAAATACCGACTTCTACAGAAAAATTGGTGCCTTCTTCAACTACCCCAGAAAATGCCGGTAATAATTTCTGGAACACAGTAACTGTTAAACCGAAAAGTTGTCCATTTGGATTTGAGCCTGATGAGTATGGATCATGTTTTGGTAAGAACTTTTAAATTGTAACAGCACACTTTTGTAACGATCTTCAAAATTACTAATTATTTATTAATTAATAAAGCTTGGTAGCTTTGTAGATAATGTACAGGTACTTTTGTGTATCCAAAAAATGGAGGGAGACATTAGACTAATCATCCCATGAGTTTTTAAATGTTTAATTATGTAAGATAATAATAAAAAAGATAAGAAATGGGTAATGTAGGCCCAGGGATGTTAATAGATAAGTAATAATAGTTTTTTTTTCAGATATTGACGAATGTGCTACTGATCGCCACAGCTGCTTCCCTTCGACTGAGATTTGCAAGAACACATTGGGAGGTTATACTTGCAACTGCGCACCAGGTTTCAGAAGAGACCATGTTACATCGGCTTGTGACGTCATTACAACGTCATCATCTACTACATCAACTACCACCCCTATACCGCTGCCGCCGACTACTTCAAGTGAGAAGACAAAACATGAATGACCATTAAATTTAAAACCTTTGAAAATTAGTGTACGGTTCAAAGTAAGGTTACCAAAGAGGATTCATAGACCTCTGAACCTGTGGTGACTTTATTCACCCTACATTTGGCCTCCTATCATGTAATAAAAAAATTTAGTAACGTAACATCACGCCATCTGTATAAAATTAAGGATTACCATAGCTTGCGCTAATTACTCACAGATGTCATTGACCATATAGGTTACACTACTAAACACTTCAGCATAATTTGATTAAGTGGTTAATACTCTTCTAGTGCAATAAAGCAATAAACAGATTTGTTAAAATGAAATAATTTAAAAACCTTATTTTAGGTGAAAGCTACTTCTGGGGATATCCAAACTATCGAGTGACGTCAAGACCATTCCACTCTCGGACCATGTGCGATATTGGCTACCATTACAACCTCAAGACTCTTACTTGTGAAGGTAATATACTTTATATATAATCGTATACTTTATTACAATTTTGACAGATTTCCTTTAGAATCTTTTTACAAGATTGTGATTGTGAAATGGAAAAATACTACTCACCATATTGACGGGTGATGCACATTGTGACCCTGGAGATGTCCCATGTTGGACGAAAAATTGTTACAGGAGCTACCGTTATTTGCCAGTTCGAGCTTAAGTTTTTCTCACAATTCAGATTAACTAGTCCGATTTGGTAAATTAAAGTTAATTTGTATTTAGATATGGAATTCTAACATAACTTAGGAAAATTCAGCAATAACACAATTAACATTCGTCTTGGATTAAGAGATATTGAGTTAAAGGTGATTAAAGTGGCGTGCAATAGGAGAGACCTATATTCAGCAGTTGACTGCGATAAGCTGATGATGATGATGAGTTTAAGGTATTCACTGAACTAAGAGGCAGACGTCGTTCGTGTGTTCATTCATTGGTTCGTTACGACATTAACTAAAATAATAATATCAAAACAATAAATAATCCTTAACCCCCTACAGATATAAACGAATGTAAGAACGGACAAGCAAACTGCGCAGACGTTGAAATTTGTATAAATACAGAAGGTGGATACAGATGTGATTGTCCACCGAATTGGTCATTGGATACTTTTAGACATAGATGTGTACCGAACACCCGCAATGGACATCTTATGCCGCCTGGATACGGAAATGAACCTGGTAAGCTTAGTTCAAAACAATTGATAAAAAACATTATGAAACCTTATTGTTTTGTGTGTTTGTGTATGTGTATTTATTATGTGGATGTCGACACTACGCCGTGAAACAATCTGACATACGTAGCAACTAGGAATCCAGCATCGCGTACACGCTGTGTTACGTTTTTTTTTAAATCTTTTTTTTCAGTTTTTGCTAAAACAATGTGTAAATATTATCTTTAAACCATTTAATATTTATTTTTTTCTTACAGCTCCATTTGTACCTACTAAGAATTCTGTACCAGTTGCAACAGGTACAAAATACCTGGACCCGCAAATCATACAGGTCGAAGACAAAGGAACAGTCATAAAGTGCTCACATGGCTACAGAGTTGGAGAGGACAATTCTTGTATTGGTAAAAACTACATATATTTTGAGCTCATGAGATCTGTTTGTGTGTGCGTTAGCCTTGTGATCAGAATCTGACTGCTGCTAAACAATGGAGAGTTTCTTCAACTGTATGTACAATCTACGTAAAATACGGTTATGTTCCTTGTTCTTCTTTTCCTTTGAAAGACCGACTTGACAGACTAGTTCTCTAGTCGAGACTGGTCCAATACAAGTAAATTTAACCTAATTGTCCGCCGTCTTAAAATAAACGCTGATTAGAGCGTGTATTCGTTTCCAACATTTAGAACTAGTTGTTTAAAAAAAATATAGTCCCAAATTCACAACAACACCTGACTTTTTTAGATATTAACGAGTGTGAGACTGGAGAAGCAAAATGCGGCCCTCAGCAGATTTGTAGCAACTTGCCAGGTGGTTACTCCTGCAACTGTCCCAGCGGACATAAGCTGATTGGTGATCACATGTGTGAAGATGTTGACGAATGTGATATAAAGGGTAACTTGGTAAGTGTGTAAGCTAAAGTTCAGAAATAAAAGTTAAGAAAGAACATGATTTCAACTGACGGTAGCCGTAACATCAGCTCCATTGGCCTGAGTGGCCTCACATGTCACTGCGTTAAACTTTAAATGTTAGAGCCCATTTCTCTTTTTTATGGGCCGTTTGTTAATTTTCAAGTTCTTGTCTCCGATTTGGTAAGGAGGACGATTTACCTTTCCATATAATATTCTTCTGAACGAATTCTTTTGCGCTATCTAAGATAGCTTGGTTTATTTTCAGCATTCGTATGCTCACTATTTCCTACGTTTTCTCTGATGATGCTGTTTTATAGTGAGGTCTAGAAAAATGAATTTATTTTAAACGGTTACACAAGCTTATCTATGAGTAGAGGCCTATTGTAATTTTTTATTTATTGTAATTTTAATTGTTTTTTATTTGTAATTTTAATTGTTTAAAAGGCATTGTGTTGCAATTATTTTATTATTATTCCAGCCTATTTGCTCTCAAAACGCCGACTGTGTGAATACAATTGGATCTTACCGCTGCCAATGTCACGCGGGCTTTCGTTCAGCGCCCATAAACGACAAGGTAAATAACTTACTTTAGTTAAAATAAAACTAAAATGAGAACCATAATAAAAACAAATACCACCCTGAAAAGATCTTTTAAAGATGAACTTTTAACACATATATTTGGTCCATAGCAAGTAAAGCATTTATTTGTCCGAAATTTATTTGCCTCTTATAACAGTTTCACCAAGAAATTCACATTTCATCGATATATTTTTGGTTTTTCCTTTGTATTAGAAATGTAAAAATGTTTCTTTGGCACTCTATTATGTATTTATAGTAATTCTGTATGACCACCAGGTCTGCGTTGACGTCGACGAATGTATGGCCGCCAGGCCTGGTTCTTTGTGTCAGCATAGATGTAACAATGTGTGGGGAGGATATAGATGTTCCTGCCATAGAGGTTATAAACTTAATCCTGACAACAGGTATGTGAATTTTGCAATTTTATATTTATTAATTACGGCTTGAAATTAAATTCTAGAAAATAAGTACTTTTGGACTAAATACCTTTGACAGACTGAATCAGTTAAACATTTTAAAGTAAATCATGTTGTCTTTAAAAAAAAGCAAACAAATTTAACTGTGTCCAATTTGTTCATCCATGAAATTGTTTCTACTTTTGTATTGACAGTTAATTTCCAAAATAAAACTAAAATTAGACAATGTGGTAAAGTATTGCTAACCATGTAGGCAAGCAGTTATGTGGCTAATGGGTTCTCCTAAATTTCTTTTCCTTACAGTACATGTTCCGATGTTGATGAATGTAAAGAGTTCAAGTCTAAATTAATCTGCATCGGTAAATGCTTAAATGAACCTGGTAGCTACCGCTGTACCTGTCCTACGGGGTATAAACTTGCAGAAGACAGGAAGAGTTGTATTGGTAAGCATTATCCTTTTTTTATATTAAACTCTGTCCATAGAGAAAATTTACAGGTGTTTAGAATTTATCGGCAGTCGTTAGCTTAGTTCCAAGACAGATTAATTTCTTCCTGGGACTTTCCGAGTGTCATAACTCGGTGTGTTCGTGGGTCACTGCTGTGGATCCTGGTGTACAGAAGTTACAGCGGTGGGCGTGTGGGTGTGATTAGTCGTTGGCTTAATCGTGAAATTTCGTATACATAGCCTGTCTTGACAATAGTCTTAGAAATGTCCAACATCAGTCTTGGAGGTACTGCGTGGTTTTAAAATGTTTGACTATAAAAACGCTTCATGCCCATCGTAGGTTGGTACCCGAAAATATTCGGGCATTGCTACTAATTACTATTTTATGATTTATACATAACCAATACGAAGAAGAGTGTTTGTTATTTTTTTTAAATTAAAATCAACAGCTTTAACATCGATATAGTAACAATAATTTACAACATTTAGCAAATTTAACTTCCTCACATATAAGCACTATTTTATACGCTTTATACGCTTATTTTATAAGCTAAAAGAATAGTCTTACAATACGGATAGACATTGGTGCTCACATTTTTTTTTGGAAATAGATACTAATATTAAAAACTTATACTAGTATAGTATAATATTATACCTAGAAATACAAATAACAGAACATACAAATATTGACAGGAATCGACCCTCAATATGACAAACACATTTTCTGCCGTTTCCTAAGTCACATTTATCGTCAATTCATTGCTTTTTTATTTGTAGACATTGATGAATGCGAAACTGGTGAAGCCCTTTGTTCAAAGGGGACAGCTTCTGTCACGTCCAATGATGTATGTGTGAATACCCGAGGCAGTTACAGGTGTCATCGTATTACTTGCCCTGTTGGTTATCAACTGGAGAATAAACAGTAAGTTAAACCAAGTCCTAGTAATTGGAATATATAATAACTGGAATCCTAATATGGGTAAATGGAAGTGAAGTTATAACGACATTCACGTACAACAAACTATAGTTCAGCGCCATCTAAGGAAGCCGACCAGAACCTAATAACAACTATTAAATCTGTATCTATATATTGTCCGTGTGGTGACGGATTAAGAATACGGAGAGGTACCACCCCTATTCATACCGTGGGTGTCTTAAGAGGCGAGTGGGGGAGCAAAGTACGCAGAAATACAGAACTGCAAAAAAAAGGAAAACTTAAATCAATCCCGTCGGAACTCAGCCGTCTGCCGATACACTTCGGCGAGCACTTCCGCCTCCAAATCCCAAGGGGAGTTCCGGTAACCACGTATAGCTCTAACCGCCAATATCGTCAGAGGGGGCCAGAGGCGTGCCCTATTCTGAAAGGTCAGAGCCGCCGCCCACACCGGTTATTCGGTCAATGGCATCGTATAGTGCCATTGAGCTCACTTTTGTGCAGGAGTTGAAGTGATGAACACAAACCTTATTAACCTCCGTGCTTATCCAGAGAATGGGCTTAGGTCAGGAATGTAGAGAATAACGTGGGAGCATAGTGTATGCGTGTATATAGATAGTTACAATTACTATGATTATTTTCAGCCGCTGTAACAAGGTAGAAAAAATCTGCCTACCTACAGATTGGAACTGCACCCGCCAGCCTACTACCATCTCGTACAATTTCATCACTTTTGTTTCCAATCTGTATATACCCGAGGGTGAGGTAAGTCTAATGGGTTGTGTAGATACCCGGAACATTTAAATTAATGTGTAGTTTTTTTATTGTATTTTAAACGAGAAGAATTCACAGTAGATCAGCCAAAGCCGGCACGAAAAAGATCAAAGGAGAATAAAAGTACAAAAAGATGACATGGCTACGTAGTAAACCAACTAACACGCGTAACTTTAAATGACTGTTTGTTACTCAATCACTGCAGGACAGCTGAGCGGATTTATGGTATGGGAAGGCAAATTGAGCAAACCGGTCACTTAATGTTAAGTGACTACCTCCGCCCATAGACACCGGAAATTTAAGATTCATAAATGTGTTGCTGCTATTTAAATCTCCTCCCAGAATCAGGGGAAGGGGAGGATTTGGACTCCAGTTTTCTGTAAGGCTGTGATATCACTCCGGTCAATCTTGCACATTTGTGCCAATGCTTGACTCTCGCGCAGCCAAACCTTTTTTTTATGTTAGGGGGGGGGGGGGGAGGGGGCAGACGAGCAGACGGGTCACCTGATTGAAAGTGACTATCGCCGCCCATGAACTTCTGCAACTCAGGAGTCACAAACGCGTTGCCGGCCTTTTACGAAGGAGTACGCTTCTTGAAGGTTTGAAGGTCGTAAGTGTCCGGAAATACCGCAGACGATAACCCGTTCCGTTTTAGTATGGAACAGCACATAGGCTTCTTTTATCCCGAAAAATATATTGACAAAGTCGTCATTTAAGTAAGTGAAGTCATAGGTGTAGCTAGTTTATTATATTATGATCATCATAGCTGTAAATCTTCCATAGTCCGTTCCATAAATAAATAAAAAATCAAAAAGCTTTGGTAACCTATCTTATGATTGTTTTTCAGCTCAAACTGTTTACAATGAAGGGCCCAGCTTGGACAAATGCAAAAATGAGGTTCCAGCTTCGGTTACTAAGTGTCAATGCTCCACCAAGTGTGAAGAAGAAAGCTAGTATAAACGATTTCTTGTAAGTAACAGCTTATGGAATTAAATGATAAAGCATGTAGAAGGGGATCAGTCTGTTTGGTAAAAACTTTTTTGCACAATCGGGTTCTGCTGTTATTGTAATTACCGTTTTGGGAAGGACATAATCTCTAACAAGAAATACTACTGTTTACCAGCAGTTAGTTGTAGTTTTGGTTTTTTCCGCTCGGCTGACGGGATTCGTCAGCAGTCGGGAGGGAGCTCCAGGAAAGTATCGGCGGCTTCTGGAGTACTCTGGAGTACCTCATTACTGAGGCAGATCTCAGGGTGACCGTAGTCACCCTCGGGATACGAGACGAATGAATGAGATTAGTCAGCTTAGTGAAAACTATTTGCAAAATCGGCTTCTGTTATTATTATAATTATCGTTTTGGGAAGTACCTCCTCTCTAACAAGAAAGACTACGGTTTACCAGCAGTTATTTGTAGTTTGGGTTTTTACTCTAATACATAAAGTTACAAGGTACCAGTTATCACTTACAATGGTAACTAGTGCTATGAATGCTTAGCGATAGTTTGCAACATAAAATTGTTCTAATAAAAACCTCCTTTATAAGGAGAGGCTTATGTCCAGCAGTGGACTATTAAAGGCGGTTGATGATGATGAATATAAAATTGTATACTACGGTAACACATAGTACAACTCCTGCACTGCACGTATGGCGTTATGGTTTAAGCGGTCGCCACGCCACTTCCTACTACGCCGAGTGTTGTGGGTTCAAACCCCACATGGGACGACACTTTGTGTGATCCACAAATTGTTGTTCTGAGTCTGGGTGTTCTTTGTGTCCGTTTCACGTATGTTTGTTAAGTCCCCCGCGACACAGGATATATTCCTAATGCGGGAGTTGTCTTTTAAAACTTCTTCTATGCATGCGGAGTTTACCGTTAAGTAATTGTTACATTACTATTATTGCCTCGTTCTGTGATCTTTACTGTAAATAATACTTATGTAAACAATTGCTGGTAAACCAAAAAATATATATATATAAAAAAAAATACATACATACTTATATCTCCCAATGGAAACATAAATAACGTATCAAGGTATCTACATTATATCAAAAAATATTTTAGTCATTATTTTAGCCCCATGTAAAAGGGAGAGAGATCCGTGTGGTGACGGATTAAGAACACAGAGTGTTACCACCCCTATTTATCCCGTGGGTATCGTAAGAGCCGGGAGCTCAGGGAGCAATCTACACAGGACAACAGCACTGCAAACAGCAGTAAAACTTGAAACTAACTGGTATAGAACTAACCCGTCTGGCCAGCGTGGTATAGTAGGGTATAGCAAAACTTCTTTTCTAAGGAGAGGCCTATGTCCCGCAGCGGACTATAAAAGGCTGTCGATGATGATAATTGCTGGAAGATTTTGACCTACTATACCACGCTGGTAAGACGAGTTATCCTGTGTAGTCTGCCCCCTTAGTCGGCTCTTACGATAACCACGGTATGAATAGGGGTGGGGACACTCCTTTCTTTGTAAGGAGAGGCCTATGTCCAGCCAGTGGACTACTAATGGCTGTCAATGATTGCCAGAAAGTTCAAGCCCTTTAACCGACAAAACCCTATAAAAAACAATTAACTAATTTCCGTATTTATGTAAATAGCGTATTGGATACTCGTTAACACAGTCAGATACCAAATAAAATGACATTTTGTGTCTTTGCCTTATTTAAAATATGTATTTTATAATCGTGCCGTGATTTGGTATATAATTATTGTTTTCTTTTATAGATTAACACAGCAAACCAACTTTGAAGGTTTAATGTCGTTAGTGCGGCCACTCGAAGGACCACAAAGTATTGAACTTGAGATGTCTATGGACGTGTACACTGACGAACAGTTTGGCGGGACAGCCATAGCGAAACTTTTAATTTATGTTTCAGAATACGATTTCTGAGGCGAAGGAAGCTAAAGTTTAAATGCATTGTTGATTATTCTGCAGTTGGTTTATGTGTTTGTTTGTTTTTCTTGTTATAGTCGTTGATAGACATTGATTTAGTTAATGTCATTTGATATTTTGATTATTTATTTCACAATACAATGATTTTTTCAATGAGACAATGAGACAGTAAAAAAAAAAAATATTTCTATTGCCAAGTCTCGAATGAAATAAAAAAAAAAAACGTAAGAGGTTTTTCTTTACCAAGTCCGTCATATTTTTTTGTCGTAGAAGTACTGTTTCAAAAACAGAAATATTGTTTTTTTCCTGAATTTGAACCTACATTATAGCCCTAAAAAGAAATAACTGTGAAATCTAAAGTAAAAGTATAAAAATTAAAATGAGTTACACGAAATCTTTATTACAAAATTTATTAACCGAAAACTTGAATCAATAAAAACTTTACGCAACTATTTTCGTAATTGGTATAGTTTTATACTAGAAAAAGCATTTTTATATACATTTTATTATGATCGAAACTAACTTCTTCGATAATGAAATGTATAATTTCTTGTAAATGTATATTATACATTTCATTCTTGACAAAAGCTTGAAAATCAGCTGATTCAAATAAGATATTCAATAAAGAGAGAATAAGTTTAACGAAGTATAAATTTGTATAACATCACAAATGTATATTAGTATTTTAATGTCATCACACGTTAATAGTGTACATTTATAGTTTCCTAATTATACGAAATAAGCCATACAAATAATGGTTTATAATTACTCTAACAAACTGCATTCTGTGAATTCAGTATTGTTTTATTTTAAGCATATTATAAGAACGTAGTTTTATTTTTGTAGTCATATACTTTATAATACAACGTTTTATCGTCAATATACGAATAATTATCGTTCGTGAATTAAAGGTGCTTTATGTTATTATAAACGTACTTTAGATTAGGTACATTTAATATATTTCAGATTGTCAGTTTTTTATAAAGGTCGCTACTATTGTAATTATTAGAAACGATAAGAGATGAAAAAGTAATAGCCACTTAACTGCACATAATGAGTTTGAATAAGCTGTATTCTTCATATTTTAATTTGACATACTCAGTGGCGGATAGTTTCTTCAAATTGAAATGAAATTTGAAGAAAATATTCCGAATTAAATGAAATTCAACATATTCAGAAATTATTTTTTTACAATGTCCTTATAGGTAACTGGTTCTATTGACAGTCTCAGATATCATACGCAAAAGTACTCTTTAAACTGAAAATTTCCTAATTTGTAATTGTGCAGTAAATCTGAAATAAATAAAACAATAAAATTAACACGTAGTATTTATTATTGTATAGTTTTAAACTTAATAAAGTATTCTTAAGCAAATGATTAGTTATTTATTTTTAACATTCTGATACCTAAAGCATGACTAGAGATCGGAACAGGTACAGTATATTAGATATTATATATAAATCTCTGGTGATGACAGAACTACGGATGACGACTACTACTACTACGAAAAATGGCTACTTTAAAAAAATAATTGTAGCTGATTTTGTATTTGATGTATATTTCCAATAGATAAAATAGAAGTTTATACTTTTTTAAGCTGATTCAATAGTTCATGAGGTTGATTAACTGATATTGGTACTGATTTACTGAGATGTATACACATTTATGATTAGTTAGATTAGTAAATCTAACTAATTATAAAAGTGACAATATTTTATTGCCCGGTGGTCAGACGACATTGGGAGGGCGGTAGGAGAGCAAGAAACTAAGAAAAGAGCGTACTCCTTCCTCAAAGGACGGTAACGCGCTTGTGAGTTGCAAGCATTTGGCGGTATTCGCTTTCCATCAGGTGCCTCGTCTGCTTGCTCGTTTACCCCCTCTTTCATAAAAAAGCAATGGATCCGGCAGGCACAAAACCGCCAGGAGTGGCGTGATAAAGTAGAGGCCTTTGTCCAGCAGTGGGTGTAACAGCCTGCTTAAATAGATAGAGAGAGATAGACAATGTTTCTTAGATGTTTATAAAACGGAATTATACCACGGCCTCACAGTAAACCGGCGTTAAGCAATACTTATGCTGCTTTTCACCGAGTGAGTGACGGTACTGATGATCTGATTCAATAGGGGGGACCAGATCAGTACCAGAGATTTCCTTTCTAGGGTACACCTGGTTACCCGGCAACTAGTATCGAGACGGCGTGCAGTTTTTGATCGGCTCGAGTCCGACATAACCATCCCACCGGTGCGTGGTATTTGAAGGGATTTCCGCACAGAAAAAATAGGGGTGAATCAAAGGGCGTCAACACACTTGTGAATCTTGAGTTGCAAGTGTCCCTGGACGGCGGTAGTCACTTACCATCAGGTAAAAAAAACTCTTTTGAAATTGATAATACTAACGTTTTGTATAGATCAAATACTATAATGAAAGTAACTATAGGGAATAAATACTAAGGAAGCCGATATTTTTTTATCTGAAACTGGAAATGTCCATTTAAACATTAAAAAAAAAACTCCTTTTCATCAAAACTGATAAACTGATGCTAAAAACACACTCACAGAAAAGGATTATTAAAAGAAAACAATACTTTTAAAAAAGGAAACAGAATCATACATAGTCTAATGAATATAATCACTTGAAATCTTCTTGGATTAAGGCGATGACACGTACAGATTTAAAAATGTATAAATTAAAGAAATGTCGGCTCCTACCCGAAAAATACAGTAAAATCGTAGTACTCACTACATAGCCAAAGTTTGGCTATAAACTAAACTATGTAAGATTTTAGCATTAAAAGACGAGAACAGCTAAAAGCAGATTATCTTAATTTACTTAGTATCAACATCATTTTCATCTAAAAACAATTTTGACAAAAAGCGGAGTTAGCTGGTTTGGTAATTATAGCATCTACCTTCTAGCTAGATTCAGGGAGACCTTCAAATTACATGGTGCGTGTCATATCAAAAGTTGCCACAGTGACGCTCTTTAAATCATCTGAAAAATATGTAAATGGTCCCAGAGTACTCAATACTTTATTGCTTCCATAATGTGAATACATAGGTGACAACAATTCAAGTGGCAACAATTAAGGTCCCTGTCGGGCGTAGCATAGTTTGTTTGGGAGAGAGGAAGATAACACAACCACATTTACAGTAGAATGTTTTGTTTCTAATTACTTGTAATAGGGCATCTGAGACCGGCTGTCAGGGGAAGCCTACCGGAAGCCCGAAGGGATTTTCCACCCCTTCATAGAAAATGTCTATTTATAATTAACAACCAGTCAACTCCACTTTTTGTCACAATTATTACATTTTTTGGTTTGCATTTTGTACTTCTAGTAATTAATTCAACAGCTAATATTCTTAATCAAAATAAATAGACATTCCACACTAAATCTATCACAACCATCTAATCACAGCCATCCCATCACTCATTCGGATCAACAATATCTAGTATAGTAAGGCAGCCATCTTGTGATCCAATGGCGACTGCCTTTCCTCCGTGAGCGCTTGCGACTCCTGTCACTTCAGCTGGAGCTCGGTATTCCGCTATAGCGCGACCATCGACCGTTCTGAAATGAGTACCATTAATACAATTAATTCACTTCAGGGAATTACAACAGGCAATTTTTTTTAAATATTTTATTCCTCATTAATCAGAACTATATGTAGGTTTAAAAACCTGCCATTATTTTGAGATAACCAATGAATAGGAAGCACTTACCGGAATACTCTCAAAGTTTTTCGCCCACTATGATAATAGAAAACATACTGATCAGTAGAACTGAACATAGTAATGATGGAGAATACTCCTTCAGCGGCTCGGTATATCAGCTGTTGTGTAGAGGTTCCTCTTTTCAGTTCTATAAGGTCCAACCCTCCTCGGGAAGGAGCACAAAGCCCAATTTTGCCATCTTTGGTGCAGGCTCCATTCCAGCGGGGTACCACTCTAGGATGAAAAATCAAATAAATGTTACTTTGAAATAATTGAAATGTTAAATTAAATGCTACATTGAAATATTTTCTTAAGGCGGTGTTTTAGGAAGTCTCGATTCTTGCCCATTTATTCCGTGCTGATTTTCTGCCATGAGAGATTTTGAGTGAGGTAGTTAGGTTATATTAAGCAGTCATTGTACAGAAATTCGCAGTCTACTCATCAATTTTCCATAAATATTTAAAAAACAAGTAGTAAAACAAAACCTGAATACCTTATATGTCTTTTTGTCTTGATGTCCAGAATGCCTGCCTTATCATTGCCTACTACGGCCACCCACAGAGGTTTATGTGGTAACGCCGTAATCGATTGCATATCTTTAATGCCACTATTCTTTATAGGAATCCTGTAAAATGGAAATAAATAGAATTATTTTTGACAAATAATGCAACCTCCAGAATGTATAGACTTGGCAAGGTTAAAATGTTCCGCAGTGCAGATTAAGCATAGCCTTTATAAAGCGTTTTTGTGCTACAAATGCTCGTTCTTTGTCTGAACTATTACCCCAAAATATAATATAATAATATTTGGGACAACACACAACGCCATCTAGTTTCAAACTAAGCAGAGCTTGTACTATGAAAGCTGATAGACTGATTGACTGATAGAATACTTATATACTTTTTTATGTAAATACACACCTGTTATACATAAAAAACACCCGAATTCCGAAACAAAGCATTTGCAGGTCATACAAAGATTTGATCTGACCCGGGTATCGAACTCGAGACCTCAGCAAAGCAATCGCATATGCTACCACTGCACCATCGAGGCAGTTAAGCCGTATCTTAAGGTTGAACTAACGTATCGGACGCTAGGAGACGGCACAATGCCAGAACTGCGCAGCCGACAGGGACTCCGCCCAGCACACGCTGGGCGTCTGAACGCAAAGTCCTAGTTAACCAAATTGGACGAGACCTGTCCCCGCCAGCAATGGGGCGCAGTGATCTCTTTCTGGGAAGCTGTAATGCTCTAGAAAGAGACCGCTGAACGGAATCGATAGACGGCCGATCCCGAGCGTAGAGGACGTCGGCGAAGATAGCAGCCGCCGACGGGGCCCCGGGGTGCCAGAGAGTAGGGACTTCTGGTGGCAGATTGAATGCAGCGGTAGGAGATAGGATGGCGGCCTCATTGCATTAAGACGCAATTGGGCCAACACGTCGCGATTGAGGGGGGCAAGTGTATTTCCCCTGAGATAGAGCCCGTATAATTTCCAATTAATTTTATCGTCAATATGTAAAACTAGAAATTTTGTTACTTCAGTTTATTCTATATCGCTATCATTATAATTTTTAGGGAAGCCGTGTTTTGTGTACGTATTCTAAAATTTATTAATCATTTTTGTTTTAGCGAAGTTGATTATTAAATTATTCATTTTGATCCAGTGTACAATATTTGCAATGTTTGATTAATGTCAAGTTTTAAATTAGTTGATTTATCATTAGTAAATAGCACTGTGCAATCGCCAGCAATGCTGCAGCGTGCTGCTTCTGTAAATAGCCTAAACAGGAAACTAAATAAAAATCTTAAAAAGATAGACAAAGTAAACACAAATAAGTATAAGATAATATTTCGTTAAAATAGTAGTACAATTTCAAGTACGAGTAGAGTGTTAGGTACATTTGGAAAATATATATTTAAGCCTAAATTTGTTTAGTATACGCAGAACGGTTTATGAGTCACCTGTGTAACCTGGCTCCAGTCCTCGCGTGGAACACATGAAGACAGTCTTTGGCATTTTTATCAACTCCTGGGGCTACAATATGATGTTCATCGGCAGAAACCACTGCTCCTTTATATCCTGTACCTCGTAGGTCATACTCTGCTGTGTAAATTTTTTCACCATCTGAAAAAAATGTTGACATAATAATATATACAAATAATAATAACTGATTTATCTCACATACGGGCGACTGAACCTACACTAGGCAGAGCCTGTACAATGGTAACCAGACTGCTGATACACATGTTTATAAATTTCATAATGCATACATCCTATAGATAAATTATTACACTCTGAAACTGAAAAAATGATCGTGTTCATCACACAATTATTAGTAGATGGGAATCGAACCACGACCTTTGGCTTAGAAGTCAGGATCACTAACCACTAGACCACCAGGCCCGTCAATGAAACAACTAAGAAGGGAAACTGGGCTGTCTCTTTGTGAATTAAAATAGAATCAAAATATTTATCTGCGAAGAATTAAAATTTTAAAATTATTGGTATAGCGAGCATTTACGTATTATGAAGGGTTTGTTAAGTACATACCAGGAATAGTTCGTGCGATTATATTTGCCACACCTATACAATCCACATTTGCTGTTGACACGAGCGTGGATATAGTGATGAATTTTGTGCCATCTTCTAACAGTAATACTTGTTTGATCCCTTTTTGTTCTTCTTTAAATACAGCCTAAAAATTAAAACAACAAGATTATAAAACGGCAAATAAGATCTTCTTGAAAATTAAACATTCACAAAGGCCACCGCAATATCTATTGCCCTTTGTATTCTAGACTAGCTTTTTAAATCTGATTGTTTCATTTGTTTCAGTACCTGTTTTTCTGGGGTATCCCAAATGATCACATTTCCTGATTCAGCAGTTATAACGTTGTCACCACTTGGAGTAATGACTGCATGGGTTACTATAGCTCCCAGCGGCGCTTCAGCTAATTGCGCCAAGAGCTTCCCAGTACTGGTGTCCCATAGTCCCCAACAGCTTCGAGTCACAGTAACTGCTAGGCACTTATCACGAGCCAAACTGAAGAAAGACAGAAGTATTGGGGATCTCTTTCGAGTTCTACCCTTCTACATAAAAAAAACCTAATATTTTTCTACAATAAGAAAATTAGTCTAAGCGTTCATACCTGATAGAATCGATGGGCAATTCTTGTCGATCAATTTTGTGAACTTGTTCAAAAATGTTGTCAATATTCCATATCTTCACAGTACGGTCAATGGAAGAGGTAATCACATTGTTCCATGTACCCACAGTCAAGGGCTCCAGCTGGACAATCCTGCCGAAATGAGCATCTAAGATCTTGATGAGCTTTGTCGTCTCCATAGACCAGACGTAAAGACTCTTCCTGAAGTCAAAAAATAGGTGTTGACATATAGTGATGCTATTCTATTTATTCAACTGGTTGCAAGTAGGTACAGTAGTTCCTGAGATTGACGCGTTCAACCAACCAAACAAACAAACTCTTCAGCTTTATAATATTAGGATAGATACAGCACTATAATGTTTTCCACTGTTTACTTCTATGCAATCACTACTGCCAAATTTAAATTCTCTAACACATGAAAATACACACAAAAAAACCATCCAATATCTAAAAACTACACTGTAAAAGCAATTTTCCAGTCCTCCAGGAGCAAGTCTTTCCCGAACACTAAAAGTGAATTCAAACGTAATATTTTGGGTGTGATTAGAACAAGATAGAAATAGAAATAATACTCTTGAAAGCTAGGAGAATATCTTGATCTATGTAATACCTGACTCCAGCGACAGCATACGTGTTGTTATTGCTGATCATAAATGAATTGGAAAACGTCATCTTGGTGGAAATGTTGCGAATAGTATGTGGCAATTTTAGCACTATACCATGCACACGGTGGTCTATTTCTGGTTCGTCTTCTGGTTCCTTCTGGAATCAAATATTTTAAATTTTGAACCTAAAGTAAATAAACGTCAATGTTAACTGCCAATTTTAATTATCTCTGTATCCCCAAGGGAAATAGAAGCAAAAGTATCAACCACTTTTTCGCTGTAAATATATTACTATTACATTAATACTGTTGCTTATTCGTTACCTCTTCTTGCTCAATTTTAGGTTTAAATGGGTCTTCTATTTTTGGTGGTGGCTCAGGTTTAACTCTCGGTATGGTGACATTAAAGTCCCATACAACGAAACTGTAAGTAGTTGTTGCTGGAAAAACCAGAAAATATGAGTGTAGTAAAATACTTACTTATCATTTGATATAAAAATTAGGTAGATTATTCAAGATAGTTGCAAATGAATACCTAGTAACATTCGATCTTTTCGGCCACGTTTTAACTGAAGCATTGCTTCAGCAGTATCTGTTTCTAGGTGATAAAGTTCTTCAAATTTATCCCAACGTTTCTCTTCTTCGTTTAATTCAAAGATTGTGATCTAGAACAAGTTATTAAATAAAATAAAAGAAATGAAGAATAATGTCAGAACACAGTTAATAACTTTCAGTCATATCAGAACAAAAATTCGAATGTTTTAATAAGCATTTTAGAAACTTATTTATTGAAATAACAAAATCCAATAATTTATAATGAAAACTAGTTAAGAAAGTTAAAAAAGAGTAGAGCTGAACTCATTATGGACTATACATTATGCTTGATATAAAATTACTCCGAAAAAGACCTCATTTTGTTAATCCAAGTTACCTGATATCCTCTCTCAGGATCACTGGTGTATATTTTAGTCCAATACTTATTCATAGCTAAAGCCCCTCGGCATCTTAGTGGCTTCATCCACTCTCCCTCTTTACAGAACTGCACTAGAAGTCGATCTTCGTCCAAATCCCCGCTCCACAGGACCAAGTAAAAGTTTTGTAGATCACGAAATTCAATCGCTGTTGAGAATTGATTGATAATTTTAGAAATCGTACAATATTTTTATGGTGTACCTGGTCACCTGATGGTAAATGACTACGGCTGCCCATGGACATCTGCAACTCACACGTCATAGAATGATGTCGTTGAGCCCCCCACCCCAGAACCGAGGGGAAAGTATCGGTACCACTGGTATCCAATTTGTGCCAAAGCTTGGCTCGCATATGGTAAAATGCCTCTCCTACAGTAATCATGACCGACCGTAAAAATTAATCGTTAGGTACTTAGATGAAATAATAAATTACAGGTAGGTATATTTTATAATTTTAAATGAAGTAAAAACGCCTATAGCAAAGAGTAAAATGCTTGGACTGTTAATCTGCTTTGTCTTGCCATTCCTTAGTTGATGTCGTTTCTAATAAATTCTACTTACATAGTATCTCCCAGAAATCTTTCTCATAAGGCGCGGTATCAGGAACAGGTAACGTTTGTTCATGTTCGCCTCTCATATTATACTGTACCCAAGACTTCGGGCCGTATATGATCATATGATGGTTCATGACAGTTACACCTCGAACTGTTTCATCTGAAATTTGAAAGTTTATTCAAATTTCAGATTTCAGGTATTTGTTTCAGGTCTTAAGAAAACTAATATTATATGAATCATCAGGTTTCTCCAGAGTTATAACTATGTCAAATAAAAAGAAAAAATCTTTTTGTGTTTATTAATCCTATTAATTTATTTTTATTTAGTACTTTACCTTCTTCGAGAGGATTTTCAATTGTAACGTATTCACTGGTCAGCATATTGAGCAGCAATGACTGGAAAAAAATACATCCATAATTTATTTTAAAAATTGACCTAACTAAACTTATCTCACCACAAAAGAATTTACAAAGGTCCAAGAAAATACTCACGACAGAATTGTTTGTAGATGCTGCAGCCCATTTGTTATCCGGAGACAGTTCTAAATTCTGCATAATGCCTTCAAGTTGAGGGCAGAGGTCTCTAGCTAAATCTGACGTTGATAGATCCCAAGATATGACCCTACTGGAGATAGAGACAACAAATCGTTTGTCTGAGCTAAGGCGGAACGCAAAGACAGCAAATTGATGACCTTCTAAAGAATACTGAAAATAGAACAATTTGAGGGATTACTTCTTGCACTTGTAATATTGAACCTGGATTGATTTATTGATACTTCAAAGTTTGTACCCTTATATGTGTACCTTCAATGGTCCACCAGGGGTATGTAGACAGTGATGAGATGGTAGCAATGCGCAGTGAAATTTGCCGTTGTGATTGCATTGCTTCAGTAGTGAGGCTATTGCAGGATTGTTAGAAGATTCAGGTATCAATCGACCCACCAACTGTGGGGCCAACATATCAGGATACGTTCCGAGGATGGCACCTCCAAGACGTAGAGCATCTGCTACTAACATAAGTTCCCTGAAATTGTGAGTTAAGTTAAGTTTTTTTTTTCAAGTTAAGTTTATCAGCAAGTAGCTATTAGTGCATGACCTACTGTAAGTAGACCGTTTGAAAATTGAATGTTATGCTAGATATTGATAAATTTATATTTTAGATATACATATTTAAATTTTAATATTTAGTCCCCTTTGCATTTGCTAAAAATCTTTGACGTAAAGATTTTGGAGCTTTATTAGGTATAAATATGTGCCATAATCGATAATAGCATAGATTCAATATTACTAGTGGATATCAAAGATACGAAATGGTCTACGTGGTATATAATTATTACGATGTAATCTGCTCTACGCTACCATCCATACTTCCATTATAAATGTGAAAGTGAGTTTGTTTGTTTATTACGCTTTCACGCCTAAACCACTAAACCGATTTGAAATATAGGGTCTGGTAATACCTTTTTAATCCTAAAAAAAGTAAGTATCATAATAAACTATGGCATAGCATAAATTTACCTCACAGCATCCTTATTGACATGTTGCTTGGCATCTTCAAAGTCAGCGAGGACTGCTTGTAGTGGGCAGCAATTAAGTTTTGCATGAAGCCATTCGTAATTGAATAACACTTCAGCGTATAAGTCCGTGAAGCGTTTAGAACGAACCAGATGAAAAGGTAACTCACCGAACTGAAAATTTATTTGGTCATTTTATTTTATTTGGTCCGTGTGGTGACGGATTAAGAATACAGAGTGTCACCACCCCTATTCATCCCGTGGGTGTCGTAAGAGACGACTAAGGGAGAAAACTACGCAGAACAACAGCACTGCAGAGAGAAGGAAAACTTGACACAAACCCTATACCAACCCGTCTGGCCAGCGTGGTATAGTAGGCCAAAACCTCCTTTCTAAGGAGAGGCTTATGTCCAGCAGTGGACTATTATAGGCTGTTGATGATAATGATTTTATTTGAGCAACTGATGAGATGGTAAAAATGTTGCATTCTTAAAAAATATACAGTTTTACTACGATTACGAATCTTACAATACACTTAGTTCAGTAAAACTAAAGTATCATGCTTTAATGACGAACGAAGCTTGACTATACACCTTTATGCATCATGAGACTATCGTTACGAAGGCCTCTGCTGAACTGGCTAAGCAAACCATATGAGCCTGAACTCGAGTAGACTAGCAGTTTTTGGAGAGTTCCACTATTCATTTCTGCTATTCCTTTATCCATCGTCAGATTAGCATCAAAATATTAACATAGTATAATCATCCAAACTACCTGTCTATACAAAGATCCATTTCGTATTAGCATTTTGTAAGAAAAATGATGGAAGTAAAAGAGAACACTATTATCTACCCACCCTTTTATTTTTAAGCCTCGGAATATTAGGAAACGTTGGAATATGCTTTCTTTTAATTTCAAAGCAACAACAATGTCTATTGATTTATCAAGTAAGATTACACATCACCTTCCTCAAGTTATATCTCTTCATAGAACCATCAGCGGATGTGAAGACCAGAGGTTGCAGAGGCACCTTCCTATCAGCAACACCTTCTCTGTCAGCTAGATTAAATCTGTGGCGTTGGATCTCCGTATATTTAAATGGCTTTGGTGTACCGCCTCCCCAAATACCTAAAATTATGGGCCAATTTAAAAACAGTCCTTAAAACACGACGAAGTGTCACTGCAATGCAAGAAATGTATGCAAAATGATTTTGACTGCATGAATTTAAAGTGTATATTTCCAATACATTATTTCACTAGCTGACCCGCGCAACTTCGTCTGCGTCTCTCAATAGTAATAAATTTTCTCCGTTTTTGAAACATTCTTCATTGGTGCTCCTATTGGTCTTAGCGTGATGATATATAGCCTATAGCCTTCCTCGATACATTGACTATCTAACACTGAAGGAATTTTTCAAATCGGACCAGTAGTTCCTGAGATTAGCGCGTTCAAACAAACAAACAAACAAACAAACAAACAAACTCTTCAGCTTTATAATATTAGTATAGATTAACATTTTAGGAAAAGTATTTGGGTTTATTGGTTTTTAATATTATTTTTTCTGCGTCATGTTAACCTTTGTCTGTAGCAAGCGTTTATCTCACTGAATTAACTTACTAATCCAATTTGTTATGTTTTTGTTTGCAGATGATATGTTCATCTGACATCTGAATAATATAATAAAATGTATATATAGCTAATACTAAAATTAAAATAAAATTTTGTTTGGTGTAAATTACTTGCCGTTTTAAATAAGCACTCTTATTTAAAATAGCGATTAGACTCATAATTATGACTTTCCAAACTGTTAGTCAAAAAATAAATTAGATGTAATAATCATGGACCGCTTAGTAGTAGACGTGCAACTATCTTAGTTAGGCTCTAATTAAAAAATAACGTCATTAAATATAGCAACAACAGACTTGAATATGGTGACAAGGACAGAAATTGTGACGTACGCAGTCATAAGTCCAGTCCCACTTTTACGAAGTTACAGCATTATTGCTGGATTTAAGGCCTTCTTCTACTAACGAATATAATACACACATACACAGACTATATGCGTATGATTATAATAACTATTCGAACGTCAAAGAATACAAATCTTTGATTCAATATCTTAAACTAGTAGTCACTAAAAGTTGTAGGTATATTTAAATTTATTGGATGTAATAAAATGTTATAACATTGTTCCGTGAACTTAGTTATTGCTATTAGTGGTATCTATATTAAATATCTATATCCAAAATGCAAGCAACTATTAGTGAAAATGCAAGTAAAAATTTGTTTTGCAGCCAGGGCTAACATTATAGTTTTGTATAGACAGGGTTAATTAGACAAACTTACCCAGATAATAGTCCGCAATCATTGAGTGGAAGTACATAGCCATATTCATGTTCTTGAAGTATCTTTCTCGTGCGGTGTCTCGAAACTGCCTGTGATACCAGTTCATTACTGAAACGCCATCAGCTTCTCGTTCAGATAAATAGTTCGGAAGGTCGTTGCGGATCCTGTAAAAAGTTTTTCTTGAAGATAATGTATGTCGTTGAATACATATGGGCCGGTTTAAATAATACCGCGGCCTCACAGAAAACTGAGTAAGTGGGGTTACCGGAGCCCAAAATCCTCAACTTCTATTCCCAAGGAGGGATAGGATGGCAACGCACTTATGACTCTTGAGGTGTAGGTGTCCATGGGCGGCGGCTTAACATCAGACGGTTCGTTTGTTCGTTTGCCCTCTATACAAAAAAAAAGTTATTATCGATTACAATACAAAAGAGCTGTTTTTGGTTCTGCTTTCAGCCATATCCTGACCTTCCTCTGCATTCTACTTCTGATCTCTATTCTTTTGATAACTAACGTGTGATAATCGCAAAAGTTTTCAAGCATACCTTACCTAGTCCATAGCAATGGTGGGATTCTTCTGACTGGTGGCAAATGGTATTGATAGACATCATCCAATACTTTGTCATCTAAAGAGATCAGATCTTCGAGTTCTGTCTCAGACAGACCACTGCGTGCTGCCGTGATGTAAGCTAACGCGTGAAAGACTAGGAGTCGACCATGCTGTGGGTAATAGAAAAAATCATGAAAACCATGGGAGAGCCGGGCTTTGACATAAATAGGCCAGGCTCGACCGGAGTGATACCACGGTCTAACAGAAAATCGATGTTAAGCTATTATATCGCTACTTTTCACTGAAAAAGTAAGGTAATAGGAGCCCAAACCCTCCCATCTCCTTGATTCCCAGAATCAAGGGGATGGGTTGAAAGGGAGGCCACGCACTTGTAACTCTTGAGTTACAAATATCCATGGGCACCGGTATTTACTTCCCACCAGGTGATCCATCAGATCGTTTGTGCTCCCCCATTCCATAAAAAATTGAACAAAAATCACAAGCATGTTTAACTTTGAATTCGTATACTCAGTTTAACACTCAGAGCTCTGCTAGAGTTTTAAACAGCAAGGACTGTTGATTTAAGGGTTATTTGTAAATATTTGTTCAACGAAGGAAGATCTTCTGCTCTACATAATACTAAGAAGAATAGGCGTTGTTTAGAGTACTATTGTAAGGTTGTTTATCTTAAGATAGACATACGTATTATATATGTATTACTACACTACACTATTTTGAGTGTTCAATTTTACTGTACCGATATGTGAAGGCTATTCAATTCTTAATACAGTGCGCCCCGACTACTGTGGATTATAAAGGTGTAAATAGTGACCAAATACAAAACCTGTTTTTCGATTCTTTCAAACAGCATCATTATTGAATCCATAACACTGTCGGCTAAGTGTGTATCTTGCGGCTTTGTGTAACTTCTCCATCTACAGACCTAAAAATGGTTCATAACATTATAATATATATATTTCACACATCTCACACACGGCCGTCTGATCCCAAACTAGGCAGAGCCTGTACTATGGTAACTAGACTGCTGATAAACATACTTATATATTTTTAAATAGATACGTATCATAGATAAATTACACCACCACAGAACACATGACCGTACTCATCATACAATATTTGTCCTGGGTGGGAATCGAACCCACGACCTCCGGTTTAGCAGTCAGGGTCACTAACCACTAGACCAACAGGCCCGTCGAAGCACATTCAATTAGGTTCATTAAATTCTTAATGGTATTTTAGGTTTAATTAAAAATTAACTACACATTATCCATATAAATCTTCCTTTTGAATCACTGTCTCTATAAAGCAATTAATACATTCACAATATTTACACATAAGCATCTAAAAAATTCACCGCATCATCGCCTACTGGAAGCGTTCTCAGGAGACTGGCAGCATTGCCAGGTTGAATGGCAATGCTGATTCTCTATGCTAGAAAGAGGCCGGCCTTCTGATCACGAGAAGTGTCGATCAGTTGCCTAGCAAATGTGTATACATAGCACGTGAACTCGGACCCCATGACCCCAGCGTCTCGACCCAAAACGGTTCAAACCTACGAAATTTTGGTATTTTCGGTTTGAGGGTACGTTAAATCATTAGAACTAATTATAAACCCTTAGATGTAGATATAATTTACAATAACCAAATAGTTCGATTTGCAAATTATAATATGTATGCAAGTGTAATATTATTTATAAACTTATTTTAAACGATAGTCAGAGTTATAAATAACTTGTTAAAAAACTAGTATACATAACAATATATTTGTATTGTTTTATTATTACAATTCTAAGTGTGGTGACAGATTAAAAATACTATAAAGTATTATAAATATTATAAAGTATTATGTACGTGGCATACGCTCTTATATTAATAACAAAATAAAAAGAAAAAAGTAATTAAAATTAATACTAAGGATTAATGAATTCAGATCTCTTGAGAGGGTTATTTAGGAGTGTTTAAAAATATAATAATATATTGGGGTTTGCAAATAAATAATAGAAAGATTTTAAGTATTTCTTACCTTTTCTATAAACCTTACGATTAATAATGAAATGTCCGTGTGGTGACGGATTAGGAATACGGAGTGTCACCACCCCTATTCATCCCGTGGGTGTTGTAAGAACCGATTAAGCGAGCAAACTAGGCAGGACAACATTACTGCAAAGAGAAGGAAAACTTGACACAAACCCTATACCAACCCGTCTGGCCAGCGTGGTACAGGAGGCCAAAACCTCCTTTCTAAGGAGAGGCCTATGTCCAGCGGGGGACTATTAAAGGCTGTTGATAATATAATTATTATTATTACATTACTATTACTATTATTTATGTACGCAATTTAATTTCTATTACATATTCAGAGGTATTGCAGAGGTATTTTGGAATAGTTTTTCCCTATGGGTTCTACAAATTTAACTGCAGAATTTTCACGGTGAAATCGAACCTGTTCCTACGCATAGACAATCATCTCACGATAAAATTAACGGTTTAGCTATTTTAAATACTAACCGCCAGCTTTGAATGGATGCTTAAAGACAAACAAAATATAATTAGATATTAAGGTAAAATGCATAGTTACCTCGGCAAAAACCAGTTTGACGAATATAGGTAGCGAACAAGAAGAAATGGCGTTAGACACCAAACGCCACTGATAATTCGATAAATCACGAGCAGCTGAAGCCATCCATAGCCTAGATAAATTAAAACTTTTAATAATGTTTTAAGTACTGAAACTAAAACAACACTGGTAATGTCTTGACTGTTTGGTTGGTTGATATTTAGTAAACAATTCTGCCATTTCACAAAGTAAGAATGTTGAAATACAGAAGCTATGTAACATTTGAGTATTGAGTACTTTACTAAAAAAATTAAAGAAATGTGGGTTAATCATGTTGAGTAATCTTGTTGACCCTTTCAAATGGTTATGTAACGTTGTTTAAATCATTAGTGGGGTAGGCTTTGTTTATTTACCTTTCTTTTTTATATGGTACTAGCTCAACCCTGCCTTGCTTTACTATGGCATATTATAGTTGCATTGATGAGAAATAAGGAACGCAACTGACATAAAAAATAGAAAAAAAACATATTTGAAGCGTGTTGTAAATCGTGTCAAAATTTGAGACGGAAGTTTTTGAAACGTACACCAACCAATTTAAAAATGTATATAGGTATAGTATGCCTAAATTACAAGTTCTTGGATTTCCCACTTTTAGGAAAAGGTGATATATATTATAGGATTAGGGGCAGTTTGTGTAAGGAACAGGATTGAACAACCATTATCAATACGAATAAATGCTTACTTCAGAACTTGCATGGCCAGATCTTCCCCCAAAGCCTTAACTTCTAAAAAGTTTTCTTCAGAATCAATCATTTGGCGAAGCACATTATACTCCTTGGAGACCTCTGGATTTGCTTCTTCAGATGCGCAGGTAACGATAATCTGGAACACAAATTCAAGATATGTAGATCCGTATTCTTCTGATGATTTAAAAGAGTCCAAGAGATTTTCATTATTAATCGTAAGGTTTATAGAAAAGGTAAGAAATACTTAAAATCTTTCTATTATTTATTTGCAAAACCCAATATATTATTAATAAAACAAATATTTAAACACTCCTAAATAACCCTCCCAAGAGATCTGGATACATTAATCCTTAGTATTAATTTTAATTACTTTTTTTCTTTTTATTTTGTTATTAATATAAGAGCGTATGCCACGTACATAATACTTTATATTATCGTAATTTGCTTGCATTTATAATAAATAAATATATAATTTAAACCTGTCTTCATTAATTTACAATAACGCCATCTATGATAATGTTCTTAAACTATTTGAGACTATGACTTCATAGGAATTTTTGGGAAACCTTTAAACTATTTGTATAACATACATAGATGGCTTTGTAAAATAATTATGTCATTGTTGCCTATTCTACTTTAATAACCGAAATTTCATGACCGAAATTATCATAAAATTATTTTATCTAAAGTAATAAGTCAAAAGTAAGAAAAAGATAAATAACATTTCTGTATGTTGTATTTTACTACATTAAGAATACGTAGTGTCATCACCCCTATTCATCCCGTCGGTGTCGTAAGAGCTGACTGACAGAGCAAACTACGCAGAACAACAGCACTGCAAAGAGAAGTAAAATTTTAAACAAACCCTATACCAACCCGTCTGGCCAGCTTGGTATAGTAGGCCAAAACCTCCTTTCTAAGGAGAGGCCTATGTCCAGCAGGGGACTAGTAGGGCTGTTAATAATGTTGTATTTAAACCGCATATTCTCAGTAAGGTTACAACAGCGCCTAAAAGCATTTTTTTTTGTACTGGCTGGTAACTGTAACTTTTTAGTTAGAGCACCTAGCTTTGAAGCTTAAAACCATTGTAATGTAGGTACAACCAACAAAACTTACATGACTGACTGTTGGCACTTTAAAAAATGCATAAAAATCTTAAAATGTATGCGTGGAATTGAAATTGATTTAATTTCAACGCATCTGATCACGAATGGTTACCGCTTGCGATTAATAAAAAAAAATCTTAGAAATGATAATTTAAAAAGATTTTAAAATAATCTTTTTCATTTAAAGACAAAATAAAAATAAAAAACTGTGGTAATTTGGAAAATCGTGGCGGGGATTTTAAAACTGCGAGTCATTTAAAAGGTTCTAGTTGGTTTGAATTTGCTCTTAATTATAAGAAAAATGTACTTCTCACTTAAATTGAAAACAAAAAGTAATGCTTCAATATTTTGTATTTATTTATAAAAGCCGTAGCTACATAAATATTTCGTACGTGTAGTGACCAATACGAGGAGGGATGTCGTAAGAGCCGAGTAAGGGGACAAACTCTGCAGAGAGAAGTAAAAATTGAAACAAACCCTATACCAAACAGTCTGGTCAGCGTGGTATAGTAGGCCAAATCCTCCTTTCTAAGGAGAGGCCTATGTCCAGCAGCGGACTATTTAAGGCTGTTGATGATGATGAAATAAATATTTTGACTTAATTTTTTAAGATCACAAACCTTGCAATGCTGCGGCAATCTTGTTGGCAGCCATGAAACCTTGTTATTCTCCGTGCCGATTCCAGTCAGTTGGTCAACTGAATCCAAGAACAGAAGCAGAGGCTGCTGTTGTGTAGCCAACGTGATGAGATGCTTGAAGTGTGCTGTCAATGGCACGAGGTCATCTGGGATGGACTCGAAAGGTAGCGCAAAGTTGTAGGATATCTGAAATTAGAGCTTTCTATTTTCCATTTCGATATACTGTTTTACTGCTATTATAATTATGACATATGGTGTCGAGTTGATGGGGGATTTATTGACAAATTTAAAATTCAGCAGCTAGGTATCCATATGTGCGTAAGAACCGAGTTTTATAATGGAGATCACACAGCAGCGAGCAGGAGAGCAGGAGAGCAGGAGAGCAGGACGCTCCTAGCCAGATGGACCTCAGCTTCAATTTATCCCAGTGACCTTCCTCAAATTTGGATGCAGAACGCAGGCAACTGGGTGTAAAGACGCACATTGGGAGAGGTCTATGTCTAGCAGTAGTCTTACCATATTTAAATTACTTTTATAGAACTTTTCAACAAGATACAGAACAAATGCACAGACTCATCGCGCAAGTATTTGTCCTGCATTGGAGTAGAACTCTCGACTTCTATCTCAACATCTAAAGTCAGCCAGGACAGTCATATAAAAGAGATGCGCCTTGTTTTGGGTAGTTTAAACTTTAGATTACAATCTTCTAAGTAACACGCTACATATTTGTAGGTAAAAATCTTTGTTATTGAAAATTTGTAAACACACAGTAAGGGATATTGACATTGTGTATGAAAAATGCAAATTATGAATTTCACTACTGGCGGCATGAAATAACATCAGAGTTGGATAGTACTGCAAGCGTAGTACTTATTTGCTTATAAATTTGGTTGCTAAAACTCCGAGAGGATTAAAAGAGTTTGGTCAAAGTAAAGGTACGGTAAGGTATCTTCGACAGATGGTGCTATAGTCTGTTTTATTGAATGTGCATATCACCACATATTTTCACAAGTACAGAAGAATTTATTATTACAACAAGAAGAAACTTTAGCCTGTGATAACGGTCAGTGCAAACTGGTCGAAACGTCAGACATTTTAAAGGTATGTACTTAATACTTTAATTCCTGTGAACAATTGTATATTATGTTACGCGATAGTTTAAAAGTTAGTAAAAAAACACATGTACCTGTTGACATATTGATATTAGAGTAGGCGTGAGAGCGCTGGAGTCAGGAGTAGTACCAAGAAACCGAATTATATTCGTAGGCCGTACGTCAGCAAACCAGATGTTCAGTGACATGGCTGCACTTTTGGATAAGAGACTGGTTTTACCGCATCCACCTGAAATGAAGAAAAAACTGTTTCAGTGCTAATTAATATGTTAGGGATATAAGGGCTTACATTTATTTTTAGTTCAGGCAGTTTTCCATATTATGAATAAATAAAATCTTATTTTTTGGGGGTTTAGTGTTAAGTTTTTGCCAGTTTCTATTTTACGTTTTATTTTAATGGTAACGGTAATGGTGGAAATATTTCAGAATGCATTGTTCATTTCTTGTTTTGAGCGTATCAGTCAGTATCATTCAGTGCATATCACTGGGCCAGTACATATAACTAAGATAGAAATGCAGTTTTAGTGCTTGGGTTTTGATCACGAAAATTTAAAAAAACCAAAACATATTCCTTCTAGTGCGATCTGTGGAAAACTCTCTCAATATCTATTTATCTTTAGATAACAACATTTAACGTGTGAGCATCTGTAAGAACAACAGAACAATTAAAGAATTTCTTAGCACTATTGAAATTCACAGAATCCAACCTAAACGAAAATACAGTTTGGTCTAAGAAATACCTTCTCCGTACAACACCAAAGGTTTATCCGAGTTGTTCTTCATATAGTTCTCTATAAAGTTGAGATCAGGTGCTCTCCCATGGAAGACTTTTACAGAGTTATTGCAAGCGTGAAGATGCTGCAGAATCTCAGTGACAATTTGACCTTGGGCACTGCTGTCTTCTTTGCGCATTGCTCTGGGGACATGAAACTATCTATATCAAAGACTACTAGTTATTTTTTTTTTTTCTGAATTTCGTTAGAATATTTATACTTAAAAGAATTCAATGTCACGTCAATCAGAACGTACATACGTACTAAGAACATCACTTTTATTTATTGTATCATATTTAAGAAAATCTGAAGGCAATCAATTGTGTTATTAAGTAAGAGAATATTATTTTCCAAATATCTTGCAAATTCTGTGTATTTTTCCCAAGTTTAAAAGGACCAGAAACTTCATCAATCGCACTGTCATTTTGTTGAGTTTCAGTTATAAAAAAACAACATCATCACATCAACAGCCTTTAATAGTCCACTGTTGGACATAGGCCTCTCCTTAGCCTTTCTAAGGTAAGGTTTCTAAGGTTTTGGCCTACTATACCACGCCGGCCAGACGGGTTGGTATAGGGTTTCTGTCAAGTTTTCCTTCTCTTTGAAGTGCTGTTGTCCTACGTAGTTTGCTCCCTTAGTCGACTCTTATGATATTACTCACGGGATGAATAGGGTTGGTGACACTCCGTACTCTTAATCAGTCACCACACGGACAGAAAAAAACAACATATTCAAATATATAAAACAGGTATTATGCAAAATCATTAAATGGTTTCAAACTCACTTTGCGCTATTTACATGTAAATCACATAAATCGATTCAACGCTGTATAGAGCGATGACTGCTTTAATTTTATATTTTCATGAAAAACAAGAAAATGATCAAATTGAAAATTGAAAATGAAAAAATTATGGTTTATATAATATTAAATTATCCAATACTCTTAACAAAGTTCGTGAATATAACGACGCAAAAGTATTTAATGACACTGTGTTGTTATAGCCTGACTAAGAACATAGATAAACTGACTTGTTGACTGGGAGAAAATCCCTTCGGATCTCCGGCTCCTTGGATATGCAGGAGCCATATGTATGTGTGTGTCTCTGTGTGGTGTTTCCACTAAAAACTCGACGGCCAGCCTCCGGCGCCCTATTCTGACGAGGACTCAGACATCGTATTTCAGGTCCTCCCCAAATCGACACTGGAATTAACTAGGCCCTATCCCGGGAAAACTAAAAACTCCCCCCTGTCAATCGCTTCAATAACGGCATGGCGACGCGGTAAATGTTTATAAGGTGTGATGCAAGACAGACACAGATACATAGACGCTCAGATACGAAGATACATGCTAAGCTGATAACAGCTCTCATTTTACGATTTTAAGAGATAGCTATGGAATTTAATAAAAGCATGCTTTTAGGTGAATAATTATACCCTCACACATCTCACACACGGCTGTCTGATCCCAAACAGTAGTAAGTAGTAGTAGTAGTGTTCTAAGTAGTAACCAAGTAGGTTAATACATTCGATTGTAAAGAAGACTTAGCCAGCTGGCCTGGGAGCTAGCATTCGAGTATAAAAGCGCCACCGTTTTACTGATTTTGCTGGTTTCATCATACCCATCTATGAAAATATTAAATGAAACGCATTGCAACTTTGGCATCGTGTTCTGACTTTTTTAATTAAAGCTCTAATTCATAGAAAAAACTAAACCAAGAGCAGATCCAGATACTAAACATTTATTGAAAACTGACCTGTCAACGAGTTTGATAATATTCTTGTAGAAGTGAGATATAAAGTGATTAAGATATTCGCCATGACTTTCTGGGTCCAAACCCTCTCGTCCAATCCATTCTACTGTATACCTGAAAGTACAGCAAATAATTAACACGGTTGTTCTTAAGCCAACGCAAATTCAATTAATGTACCAAACAAACTTTTTGTGTACTTGATACAAAAAATAAAACAATCTCAATTACAGTTGAAAGTAAAATTGAGTTTTAGTTAATGAAAAAAATGGAGCCGTAAAGCACGTCTAACATAAGTTTATCTACTTCCAAAATCTACAATCGCTAATGGGGAGACACGGAGCTTGGCGTGTGAAATCACTGAAGTCGTGATAGTTAACAAATACCCGAATCCTGACATTGTCCTCCCCATTCTGGACAAGAAACGAAGAGAGAAAGAATAAAAAGATAGGTACTAAGGCGATACTGACTTATTTAAATACTTCAAATATAAGAAAACACATTTAGTTGTTTAAGAATGTCCTACCCATTGCAAGTTTTATCTTATTAAAGAATTTCTTGAACATGCTACTACGCAATATATGATATTGGATTTCCATTTATTTTCGGTTTATGTATATAGTTATTAAGAACTACATCACTTACTTCTGAAAATTTGTCGTCTCAATTTTCTCTGTCAGCCTAACATCTCTCAGATCAGCGAGTAGTTTCGAAGCCTCAGCATCTAAACTCCTATTGATAATATCGACAAAGTTGCTGGCTTTCTTCAGATTCTGGAGATTAATGTTGTTGATGTATCTGACGTAGGCCAGGCAATGGCTTTTTGTATTTTTGACATTCAAAATGCCGTTGATTACTTCTCTTTCGGTAACTAAGAATAAATCGAAATATTTGTTTTAAAACTATATTTTTAAGTATACACTTAACTAATGTGAATTGATTTCCACTAACCGGACATAAAATAGTTGTGCATAGTATCCTTATCGATTTTGCCAGCATTAAATAGTTGTAACGAAGCCTTGCGGAAAAGTTTCTGCATTTTGCTAAGTGTGTCCCACCACACAGCTTGATCCTCAGCTTGCAACTTGGGGACCCTCTGAAGAATTAAACAATTTTCTATTCAGAATCAAATCAAATATAGTTTGGTAGTTTACGTTTCTTAATTGGTATGAAATTCTTCATTAAATTTTATTTGCAAAATATGTGTAATTCATATAAAATATCTCTCTTGGATCTACACGTTAGAAAATCACTATCTCAATTTCTAGGAATCAACTAAGTTAATGATGAAGTTGGGAACAGGCATTACTATTTATACAAATCCAAAAGTGACTACCGTAAAAGCCAGTGGATCGCAGTTGCGATTCTGATTGACACTGTATAACTTCTTAGATAAATTACATTTCAAATAATTAAAATAATTTAATATTATAAAAACATAGTTTTTGCTTATTATACTAAGTCCACCTTTTTTATTGCACTTGCGACTCTTTTGGAGAGTTCTGTAGTGGACGCCCCGACATTGATGACATTATAGTGGAAAAAAAACTTTAAATTAGAATACCTACTCACCTTATTGTTAAAATTTATTAATATAGAAGATATGGGCTGCAAGACTGATACCGGTGGTACAGCATTCGAATCCTTCTTGTACCATGTGTCCAATAGAATCACGTCCACCCCACCTGCGACCAACTCCTCTCGGAGCATTTGGAGCTCCGAAGACAGCACGTAGGTAGGGATCGGTCTGGAAAAATGTGTACTTATAAAGGAAGGCAAGACACAATGTCTAGTTTTAAATTTCTACCTTATTTTACGTTTTTCTCCTTTTTCTTTCTTATATTTGCACATAATTTTAACTTAATAAGATACATTAGGTCCGTGTGGTGACGGATTAAGAATACAGAGTGTCACCACCCCTATTCATCACGTGGGTGTCGTAAGAGCCGACTAAGGGAAAAACTAAGCAGGGCAAAAGCACTGCAAAGAGAAGGAAAACTTGACACAAACCCTTTACCAACCCGTCTGGCCAGCGTGGTATGGTAGACCAAAACCTCCTTTCTCAGGAGAGGCTTATGTCCAGCAGTGGACTATTAAAGGCTGTTGATGATGATGATGAAGATACATTATGCAGGCATTTGTTTAAATTAGAAAATAAAAATTGACAATTTTTTCTTGATCAGTACTATAAAATTTTAGTCGTACCTGTAACCATACTTCTGTCCAAGAAATACAACGAAATTAGGCCCCATGGAGAGACGCTGACAGTTCTTGATTTCTCTCATGCAGAGTTCTGTAGTCATATGATCATCTGTGGCCTCGTCACGCACGCCCCATCGCATATCCACCACCTTGGATTACAAAAATAAGAAGATAGAAGGCATTACGTATTATTTATTGACAAATCACACCATCAGTGGAAGATCTGAGGTCAAGCTCTGTCGATAATTATATCGATTATATTAAGGACTATATTTAATAGTCGCGTTTTTAAAAGACATTTTAACTATCATCATCATCATCATCAACAGCCTTTAATAGTCCACTGCAGGACATAAGCCTCTCCTTAGAAAGGAGGTTTTGGCCTACAATACCACGCTGGCCAGACGGGTTGGTATAGGGTTTGTGTCAAGTTTTCCTTCTCTCTGCAGTGCTGTTGTTCTGCGTAGTTTTTTTCCCTTAGTCGGCTCTTACGACACCCACGGGATGAATAGGGGTGGTGACACTCTGTATTCTTAATCCGTCACCACACGGACAACTTAATTAACTTAACTATACGAGTTCTGAAATATTTAAAATTATAATGGACATTTGCATATCATATTGCTAGTAGAATAATAATAATAATAATAATAATAATAAATTTTATTGTAACAAATGATACATACATAGAAAAGAGTGTGATTCATTTGTTATAGGATCATGAATTATAGTTTTAGAACTGTGTTCTTTAATTCATTTAAATTTTGAATACACTTTTATAGTGTTGGCAACATTGTGTCTGGTACGCCAACAGGGCCGAGATTATAAAAGGCTGGGCGCGGGCGGAGCGCCCTCTTTTAACTTCAAAACTTTGTATTCCGAAGTTTTAAAACGAGGCTTAAAGATTTAAATGAGTACTACACCATTATTAATATAGCTACCTCCAATTGTCAAAAATACTGTAACGTGAATATATCTTGTGTTTGATTGATGAAACAAGTAGTAGTTAACAACAGGAATAATATCTACACAAATAAATAAAATTGGAGTGTCTCTTTGTAATGTCAAAATTATAGGTTTTTTTCATGCTCACACGGTTATTTGCACGATACCTATGCCTACAAAACTAGTTTAATGTTTTTTGTCTGTATATCTGTCTGTTTTTTTCCGGGTAATCTTCTAAACGGCTGGACCGATTTCTATAATATTTTACAACCACGTAGCTGTCTACAAGAGGAATAACTTAGGCTATTTTTCCTCTCAGAAATTTTGCCCGGTCCGGGCCACTGCCACTAAGGAAGCGCTTTTCAAATTCCCCGCGAACGAAGTCAGTAAAAGTATGAAAAAGAGACATAAATATTATTCACTAAAGAAAGCTATTCTTTCTATCTCTTTATCTTAGTTAAGTAAAAACATAATGTAGTCGGCATTCACCTTATGTACAAACAGGCTTGATAGATTTGTTTGTTTTTTAATAAAGACAACTCCCGCATTAGGAATAAATCCTATGTCGCGGGGTACTTTACAGACATACATGAAAGACTTTTTCCGACACTTCAGTAGGTGCGTCAACGCTCACATCTTTTTCATTTTTCATATAACATAGCAAAACGTCTACTAAAAAGCGAAAGGAACTTCGTTCCGACCGGGGTCCATAGACCCCTCACGCCGTTTAATTATCCTTCAATAAAAACAACGATAAACACAATTTAACAGTATATCCTATGCAATATTGTTAAAACTTAATATTTATATTATTTTTAATGTTTCTTATTCATTTTTACGAGAAAAAATTTGTAATGAGTTTCGTGAAAAATATTCGTTGAGACTTATATTTTTCACTTGGCATCCAACCCAGTTAATTGTATTTACTTTTCCAAGTAGCCAGATTGTAATAACATACTATATATATATTTGTAACATTCCTGAGGTGCCTTTTAAATCTTGTTTCGTTTCAGAAAAAAATCGTCACTCAATTTGAAGACTATCTAATTATTTTTTTCATTTGCTTTTAGATGTGTCACGCGATTTGGTTTTTTAACTAAGAATTCTAAGAACTCTTCTGCGGTACCAAACCTTCCATACAAATTCTTCTATCTTGTCCAATGCGTTAAAATAAACTCTTAAACTGTACTAAACATGCTATACATTCCTAACTTCAATTCTTTCAACTTCTACATAAAACAAAAATGAATACTCGTAAAACGGAATAACCAAAAAAATACTGAACTGACACTCAAAGGACTGCACGGATGGCGTAACGGTTTAAGCGGTCGCCACGCCGCTTCTACTACGCTAAGTATTGTGTTTTCTATACCAACATGGAACGACACTTTGTGTGATCCATACATTGTTGTTCTGCGTCTGAGTGTTCTTTGTGTCCGTTTCATGTATGTTTGTATAGTCCCCCGCGACACAGAATGTATTCCCAATACTGGAGTTGTCTTTAAAATTATTATATTCAAAAGGTATTACAGGAATATTAAGACCTCCGAACCTTCCAGCAAGGAGTATATTTACACATCAAAAGGCCGGCAACGGAGACCGTGGACACCTGACTCTCAGGAGTCTAGTGAGTAAAACCTAAATACTCGTCTGCTTAACAAAAACTTCTTGATGCGTAATTTTCTATGAAGAAATTATATTCAACTCTTAGAAACTCCCAGTTCTCCATCTACTTAATCTATGCTCAGTAGTTTACAATAATCCGTAAATAGCAAGCACAAACACAGGGCATAGGAATTGTAAACATTTACAAAAAGCTAGGCACCCTCTTGTAGTTATTTTAGGTGACGGAAACCATACCACGTGCGCTTTTAACGGTACTGGAGATTTGAATTTAGTAAGCTGAATGTACTAAAATAATTCTTAAGTGATTCAGATTTACATTCTTTAATTAAGCTCAATGCGATTGCTGATCAATAAAAATGTTAATACCAAGGACTCGGAACCAGTCGAGATAGAGACTTGCTGTGGATGCCCTCTGCGTAATCAGGGGACATAAGACATTAAAGGGAATGTCAAAATCTTCAAACGATTACTTTAGCAGAATGGTTTTATACCTATACACAATTCTATCGTATAAAACATACATTCGCTGTCCTATCTCGCTTTAGATAATACAAAAATCTACAAGAGTATACATTGAATCAATCTGATTTAGTACAGTATAAATAGATCAGAACTTTCGTGGAAACGATTTACTTCTGAGTAATTTGGTCGGAGTAGAAACGACCATCCTTGTTTGTTTATTTACGTTTCAAAGAACTATCCATTTATATGTCAGATTTTAACCCTCAAGAGGAATTTATTTAATTAATACAAAACATTTTTCTCAATATGTAGGCATCAGTGAAAAATCCTAAATCTCTGATTTAACTGATAGGTATTTATTGAATAGTTATGTGTATGGCTATGGATTTATTGAATAGTTATTATGTATGACAAAAATTACTGTCGTCGGGCACATCGAACCCTGGTTAAGACGGAGTCCCTTTCATTCGGCCCTGGTCTTCCCCCTAGTTCTCGTATTCATTTGGGTCCACATCATTAATCAAAGTCGGATCTTAGACGTAATATGGAGGTTTACCAGATACTTTTGGCAGCTTACTCTAAACTTGCAAATTTGGGCAACTTGGGCAAAGGACATCATTCACGCTCCATACAAAAAGTCAAGGAAAAAAATGGTGTTATCGGTGCGAGAATGACATTCTAAGTTTTTTTCTTTAGACGGCTAAGAGCTAAGACCGATTACTTATGAGTTATATGACTTAGAAATAATAAAAAAATGCATTTATACGAGTTCGTCTGAACAATTTTTACTTCATTGCTATAGCAACAATCAAATAATGATGATAAAGAATAACTTAATTTCGCTTAATAATAATATAATATGACAAAAAGCCTAATTATATACAATCATCATTAGGTACCTAAGTACCTACGAAGGTATTTATGTGTAGGTATTAGTGTTATAAAATATATGTAAAGAAAAAGACTTCATTTCGTTACCTACGTGGCTTTATTCATATGTTATAATTCCGCAGGTCTCATTTCGATGGTTTTTAGTTATTCAGAAGTAGTTACTTGATACATAAATGTAAATGCTCATTTTGTGATTTTCGGAGATCCATTTTGGGTCTATAAGTTGGTGGTAGACGTTTGTTGTAATAATAAAAAATGCCATGATCATTTGCCATAAGATGACACAGTTTTTGTTTACTGGCAGGCACTTTAATTTTTGGGTACATTTTGAATGATGTCCTTTTTAACTAATTTAATCGGATCCAGCGTTACTACGAGATGACGAGGGTCAAAGGCACTGTATGGAGTAAAGGGCGCGTCTCTCGTTTTCGCCTAAACTTAACATTACTGAATCCGCGAAAGAGCTATGTTACGCCCGTCAAACCTAAATAAACTGTGTTGAGGTGCTAGTAAGAGGTTAGGACCTAATATGTTAATACTCTTTAGGACCACAAGACCACTGAGTATCTCGTCATAGACCTCGAAATGGCAAAAACAGACTTCAACGATATCTTACGAAGACGACCGAATTAACTAGGTAGAAATTATTAACCCTTTATAGCGCATTAAAATTTCTCAGGCGGTCGCGGTATACGATTCGCCATGCATGATCAGCTAACTTAGTTGGAAGACCCTCTATTTTGTTGGAGAAACCTAATGTACGATCCTTTAAGTTTACTGTTTAATAATAACTTCTTAATGAGAAATTGCTTTCGACTAGTTAACAACATTGACTTCATTAGCTAGTATTTTGAGCCAAGTAAAAATTACAATATATTTTACCTTACTGAAATAGATTTTTCAAAACTCAACTCTGCAACTAAAATTTAATTGTAATCTGTATATTAAAAGAAACATAATAGATTATGGCATAATTTGAATAACCGAAAAGGGTTTAAGTGACCTCCATAATTTAAAATATCAACTACGAGTATTGCTTTCAGCTCCGACAGTTCCAAGTTATATCAGGATCCTTTGAGCTTTACCTTCTGGGACAGTTTTAGTATGGTAATATAAGAAATTTTATATGCTAGAGAGCATATAAAATCTAGTTTTACATTTAGGTAAATAGTTTTGTTAGGTTTATATTTATTGTGCTAATCCGTATGGCGATGGA